AGCTATAGTTGCCCTGGTTCCGGGCCTGGCCATAGCCGCCACTACCGCCGTTGGGCGGTGTAGACCCACGTTGTGGGGAGGCTAAGTTCAAGGCCGCGATGGCGGCGTATGTTGCCTCTATTTGGGCTTGTGTAGCCTGCGGGGGATAAAGTGCCGGTTGTTGCGGTACGACTTGGGCTTGTGGCGTTTGTATGGCCGTTCGGATGGTTGGGTATCCGCGGCCCGCCTTCCCTTCGTACTCCGGCTTTCCCATTGTGTATTGCCGGACGTAGTCCCGGAATTCTGCCGGTGACTTCGGTATCCGGATGTCCAGAGCGCGGCGCAGTTCTGGCTCTTTGACGTTCTCCCTCAGGAAGTGGAGAGTCATTGTGTCGTCCAAGCCAGCGCGCGTCTGGAGAGTCAGCATGGCGTCGTAATACTGCTCTGGGGTTTCGGTCAGGTGCTGGTAGTACCGATGTGTGATTTCTCCCATGGCAGTGGCCTGCTGATTATCGTCGCCATATCGAGTGGCAAACTTTTGGAGCCACTCTTCTACTGGCCAGCCGTCCTCGTCCTCGCGATTGGCTTGGCCAGTGTACCATTCCTTTACAGGGTCCGATAGGGCCATGTAAATGCGGCTCATAAAGTCCGGATCTGGTTTGTTCAGATCGGACGACTGCTTACAGATCCGTCGGACCTGTGCAAGCCATCCTTTCACCATTGTTTTGTTGCCATCGAATTTTGGCAACTCGGTGCGGACTTGAGCTCTCGCGTTGGCTTTTCCCATCTCTTGGGCCATTTCTTTGATTTGCTCTCTGGTTGAGAGAGCTGGGCTGGCCGGTGGTGATGGGGCAGGTGTTGGCTGCTGTGGTATCAGCGGCACCTGTTGAGGTTGGGCCCACATTGGTTGGCCCGGTACGATCTGGATGGCTCCGTTGGACGCCATCCATCCGTATGCTCCATTCGGGAGCTGGACCAACATGGGCGCATTTTGGCCCTGGCCTGGTTGGGCAGCTGGTCCTGGTGGCATGGCCGCTGTTGGCGGTATGCCTGGTGGTTGGGGCACGTTTTGGCCCGTGGGCGTGGTTTGGCCCATCTGTGGCTGAGCTTGGCCCGTTGGGGCTGCCGCCGAGATAGGAGGGCCAAATAGGCTTAGTTGGCCTACTAGTGGTGGTTGCACCGTTGGTGTACCACTTTGGCCTCCTATCTGTCCTTGCGTGACTGATGGCCCGAACATAAGGCTCGGCTGGCTGGTCCTGGTTGGATCCATGCTGCTAATGTGAGCCTGGCTTGTGGCCGGTTGTGGACTGAAGTTAAAGTCCATGTTCGGGAATATCGACGGGTACAAGGACGGGTACGATGGCTTTGGTCCGAAATAACTGTGGCTGGGTGTTGCCTGGCTCGGGTCAAAGCCTAGCCCGCTTGACGTAGACGGATGAGTCTGCGTTGCGGGCGTCACTATTGTCGTTGGACCAATAGTGGCAGTTGTGGTGACCGGGACTGGTGGTGGCGGCAGTGTTACTGTCGCCGTTGATGTTCCGCGGTCCACCGGGCTGGGAGGCGTAGGTATGGTTGGCCCCTTTGGGGGATCTCCAACCAGTGGTCCTTCCACAGCCATGTTCACATGGTAATGCTGCTGTTGATACACTGGCTCTCGGTAGAAGCGTTGGCCTTGCCGCAGAGCCTCGTCGACTTTTTCTTGTCGGCGTTGTGTATCCGAGTCCGGAAAGGTATGGTAGGACGGTGGTTCAGCGGACAACTCGGAGTTAATGTCTACGAGGTGTTATTTCTCCGCGTCTAAGCAGGCGTTTTCCGTGCTTAGCCTTTCCAGTTCCTCGTTCATTTCGGTTATGCGTTGGGTGGCCGCCTGGTAGTCTTTGACCAGGCCGGCGTTATTGGCCTCCAAGGTGATGATCCGGTCATGTTGGCCCTGGATCACCTGTTTGGCTTGGTTGAAGGCCTGCTCCAATTGGACAAAGTTTTGATGTCCAATGGCGCTATTTTGCTCAAGTTGGACCCGAATAGTTGCTTCGGTGTTGAGCTGGCTCTGGAGGGCAACGATCTGTTGCTGGAGTTGCACGTTCTGTGCCTCCTTCTGCTGAACCGTTTGGCTCATCAGTCCTCCTTGTTGGATAGTCTTCATGAGATTCTGGTGGCTCTCATAAAGAAGATTGTAGCCGTTCCGCAGGCGGTTGATTTCGTCCTGCAGGTTGGCCATGTCTTCGGTGAGACGCTCGTTTTCTCTCTGTAGGCGGTCCGCCTCAGAGTCGGTGTCGTCAATGGTGGTCCGGGCCGCAGCCAAGTCATTTTTGGCTTTGGCCAGCTCAGTCCTCGTAGAGGTGAGCAGGGCTTCAAGGCCCGCCACAGCCGTTTCTAGGCTGTGGATTGTCCTGTTGAGCTGGTCTCGCTCAGCATTGGGACATGGTGACAACTTGAGTTGGGTTAGCTCAAGTTGGGTCTGAGCCAGTATGGCCGAGACGCGTTTGGCCTCTGCGTCCGATTGGACCGCAAAGTTTTTGTGCCTGCAGATCTCGTCCTGCATCCAACGTTCGGATAGCAGGGAAGCTTCTGCAATGTCCGCCAGCTGTTTGGTCAGGTCCCTTACTGTGGTCCGAAGTTGGTCGACTTCGTCGACTTCGTCGGGCCGGGTTGCCTGGATCAGCTTCGGCGGGCTGACGTTGGCGCGGCTTGTGTCCCAGGAGGGCTGGTTAAGGTCCATCCTGGCTGTGGCCCTGTTAAGTTGGGCCAGGTCCACAATTGGCTCTTCGTCCGGTTTGGACGGGCCAGACGCGCCGATGACGTCATTGGTTGGCGATGGCGTTGCAGGGGTTGAGCCATCAACTTCAAACATGATGGGCGACTGACTCACAGGCTGTTGGCCCTGGTCATGTGCCTTTGGACCAGCCTTTTTGGCTTGGCCCTTTGCCTTGCGTCCACCTTTGGCCGCCGTTGGCGCCTCAGGTTGGATCTGGTCCAAGCCCGATAGGGCTGGACGTGCTGTCAGATCCTGGACATCAAGGTTGGACCGGGCCAAGTTGTTTGGCTCTGGTCCATCAGTGCGTGTCCTGTCCTCACCTGTGGCTGCCGTTGGCGCCGCAGGTTGGACTTGGCCCGGACCAGGTATGGCCGGTTGGTGCGCCAAGTCCCGAGGGACACTGTTGGCCTGGGCCGTCCTATCGGCGCCAGGTTGGCTGTCCAGAGGCTGGTCGGCCTCGGACAGTTCGTCGGATGCCTCCTGGAATGTGTCGTCCCGGGTGGCGTCCAGACTTTCATCACTGGTTTCCAGGTCAGCCGGCAGGATTTGTTTGTCCCGCCTGGCTTTGGCCTCGACCGAACTCGTTGAGCCGGCCGAGTTTGGCTCGTCTGGTTCAGAACCGCTCTGTTTGGCCCTGCGGAAACCGTATGTTCCCGGTGGGTCGCGTGTGGCGTAGTTCTTCCCCAGTTGCTTTTTGTATTCGTTGGGTTGGCGCCTGTCCATTGGACTGAGCAATCTCCGTTGGAGTTGCTCATGGCTGGTGTATGGCATCACCTTGGCCAAAGCGCTTTCGATTTGGCCCATGGTATTGGGACTTAGAAAAATTTCTTTGGTCTTGGTCCGGACCGGAACGGTTGGTTTGGCTGTCGCTGGTTGGTGCTGGTCAGGTGTACTAGAGCTTAGGATCAGCGTTAGCTCCCTATGGCCCTATGTTACGCTACTGACCAGTGTGACGTCAGTTACAAAGTGGTCTTGCAAAAAGCTCTACGTCACGAGTAGCGTGCCGTGAGCAAAAAACGCAAAAAAGTATGATTCACTACGGCTGTTATAACACGGGGAAGTTTCCCACGTGTTCTGATTGGCCGAAATTTTATGGAAAATCACCACGCTGACGTCACGCGACTTTTCGCAAAATTTTCCGGCTGGACAAAATGGCGGTTGTTTTTCGCCGATAATTCGTCAAAAATTAGGAAAAAATTTCTCGAGAGTAACACTACACGATTCTAGTGCAGAATTTCACGAGGAATCCGAAAATGCTAGTTTTACGCAAATCGGATGAAAGGATCAAAAGTTATGGATTTTAAAGTATAGTTCTACGCGGGAACCCCGAAATTTTCGAAAGTTCTACGAAAACCTAAGCGTCACAGTCTGGTCTTACCGAGGTTTTCTCGTCCAAACTGCTGCTCCGTCGTTCCACTTCACCCTCTTCTACCGTGAGGGCCGCAGCGCACCCGATAGGGCGTAATGGAGTAACAGGACCGTACCGAGCGCAGTTTTTGCTCCGGGAGCCAAAGCTGCGGGAGACCTACTTTTAGGCGCTGACCCGTATCAACGCAACCCGGTAGGGCGCTTAGTTGGACAACTGGGACGTACCGAACGCAGTTTTTGCGCCGGGAGCCAAAGCTGCGGGGGACCTACTTTTAGGCGCCGACCCGTATGTAATCCGTCGCGCAGCAGGTTTCCAATGAAACCTGTATGATGCAGGAGATATGGTCGCGGGATTGCTGGCCTACTTATAGGCGATCAGCGTAGTTCGACCGATGCCTTCACTGGGGATCAGAGGTCTCGTCGGAAGGAAAACCGAACGAGTCTGCTACCATGTCAGAGATGACACAGAGGCAGATGGAAAATGGGGCAAATATCGCCTTTATTGGTACAATAAAGCAACAACAACAACACAAAAACCAACAGAAAACCCAATGCGGGAAAAGCTGGAAAAAGTGCCTGCAGTGCGCTGGTGAGGAATCGTGATTAATGATTCCGCGTGCTGCGGGTATGCAACAGCTGATGCGGCAAAGCATGGAATCGCCCGTAGGCGCAGGGCTCCACCCCCAAGAGTGCAGAGAAATGCGCTGATTGGTCAGCGTGGACAAAGTATACGCTGAGTAAGCAGCGTAATAGCGCGGCACGAATGGAGTAGCCATGTGCGGGCGGGCGACAGAGCAAAGCCACAAGAGGTGTCTACCGCCTCGAGTGAGCGGTCTCTGACATGCATTTCCAGTTTTGATAAAGCTCTTCAAGTTCCAACTTTCCGTGGACTGTGATTCTCAGGATCTCTGAATTTTGCTGCATCCTTTTTGTTAGGATCGGAATGGATTATTATCAGTGTACCGTGAGTCGAGTTTGCACTTTCCAGGCAGTACGAGTCAGCAAACCGCAAGGCATTTTGTCGTCAGCTCGCATCTATCCCAGTAGTTTATAATTATCCTCATAAATTATGGCGCAGAATCCCTCGACGCCGTTGTCCGCAGACCGTGAACGATCCTCACTGCTGCTACCCAGCAGCATGAAACGGGCCCTGAGCAGCGGAGAGCTCAGCGATGTGCAGTTTTCCGTCGGACGGGAGTTTGGGCCAGCCAAATGTTTTCATGCGCATAAGTAAGAAGTGATGGCAGCCATCTGTTGCTTTGATGCTGGAGCCTGGCATTCGTTTTGCCTTTTCTGTAGGCTCGTTCTGTGCCTGCGGAGCTCCGTGTTTTATGCCATGTTCTACGGAGGTCTGCCTGAACGTTGTGATCAGCCAATCGACATTCCTGATATCCTCCCCGATGCCTTTGGGAATATGCTCAGGTAACTGAGGTTGGGTAATCTGATACTGTTCCCAGTAGCTAGTCATGTACGTAATTATGGCTTTTGTATGGCAATTTCAGCTTTCTTTATACTGACACGACGGAGAATTTGCATCTCGATAATCTCATCCAGACGTCCATGTGCGCTGACAAGTACGATCTGCCATTGCTGGTGGAGATGTGCAGCGACTTTGCCAGCGCTGGGCTTACCGTCGACAACTGCCTAACCATCCTGGAAAATGTGCGTCAGCAAATGCAACATTTCAGTATATTTTTCCTATTCCGGACACTTTTGCAGATCCGTATATGGATTCCCTGTATGGAATCTACGAGTAGAGGCACGGTGTTCTATGCGTTGTTCCACATGATAAAACTTTTCGAAAATTGATTACATTTTGATTACAGCTTGTACACCAAAAAATAAGAAATTATCAAGTTTTCTAATGCGGAGCAACGCTAAACATACCAATCTATTGTGTCTGGTTCGCGAATTCGTATCGTGAAAGTGTCCGGATTGCGAAAGAGCTTGTATTCGCAATTTCGCAGTAATTATGATGAACATGGTTGCAGGCAATATGTCTCCGTGCCGACATGATTGTAGGTTGTTGCCTGGAATTTATCGACGGGTGCGCTGACGATATTCTCCAGTCGGAACATTTTGCGGCTCTTGAGCAGAAGACCATGGTGATGATTCTGCAGCGGGACACGTTGTCGGCGGACGAACATAACGTCTACCTGGCTGTCGAGAGGTACATACAGGTCCGAGCAACAGCTGAGCACCTAACAATACAAGTAGCGCGTACTGAGTGCGATGCTGATGATTGCAAGGATAGCTATTGCAACATCATCGCAGTGACAAATTTTTTACTTTCATGGTATGCTTGTTTTGTTTTCGTAATTCAACTACGTCGACGTGGTGTGGTTTTCAGACACTAATTTTTGCATACTGGATCCCAAGTCACGGGATTTTATACTATTCTCCACAACGAAGAAACTACAGTACATATAAACTCGATTTTATAAGAACGATAGAGTCAAAAAAATCGGTTCTTTATAAAATACTTTATATTCCATACAGTGATTATTATAGCTATTACGGCACAAGAGCACACAACCCCTAGTTGATCTCAAGTCTGGTCGAACAAAAAAGCAAGTTTATGCTAATGATGGTATTGGTTGTTTGTGTAGAACATGTACGTACATGTACCTATTTCTGTAGCACTAGGGTCTGGTTCATACTGTGCTAATTAATTATGCATCGAAATAAAGAGTACGTACCTATTTAATGGTATATACCACGTTGTTCTATGGATCTGTCAAGGATAATTTGTGTTCCAGATGGGCACAAGAAGCCTGCAAGGCCCACAACATGGAGCCGACCGCCGCCAATCGGCACCAGGTGCTGGGCGAAGCGCTGTTTCTCGTCCGGTTCCCACTGCTCAGCAATACGGAACTGGCTGATGGACCTATCCAGGTAACCGGGACGTTTAATTAAAGTGGGCAAGTTTTATTTCGGAGATATTAAATGAGATTTACCCGCATTTGGAGTGATTGCTCTTACCGGCCTTTCGCAGCACGAACCGGCGTTTTTATTTTTTATATTTTTTCTCTGTTCGGGGCACACACGGTAGTTTTAACCAACGCAACCAGACCCGTTCCCATAGGTTTCCACGACAAGCTGTGCTCACAATTTTTGAATTTTTGTTGTTCACGTTGTAAAAAATATGAAACCAAATTCAGATGACCTGCACATCAGAAAAGCTAATTTGGCAAGTGCAACGGCAGAACTGCAACCGCTGGTTACGGAATAGAATAAATTCCTGTTACGATGGATGGCGCCGGGCTGTGAATAAATTTGTGCGGGGTTTCTTGTAGTTAACTATGCTCATCCTTTGCAGAGTGGTTTGCTGCTGCAGTTCGAAGTGCACGACCTGTTTCAGTACAAATACGCCACGGTCAAACCGTCGCTACCTTTCTCCGGGCAGCCTCGCAAAGGCTCCGCCTTCCGTGTGGGCAAAGTGGAGCTCCGGTACAAAGAACTGGTATTTGTCAAAAAGATCACGACCAGCAGTATCTGGAAACCAGCGGAGATCGTTGGTGTTCGACAGACTGTGTTCCTGCACCAGTGGCCTCTAAGTTGTGGTCGCATCTTCAGAGGCACGGCCGGAAGCGGGAATATTGTACGGGCGTCCGACATCTTGCAGCCGGGGCTAATGTTGTTCGCCGAAATCAACGACCTCTTGGAATATGTTGCGTACATCAAGAGAGACGGCGATCGGTATGCTGTCCTACACAATGGTTCGACGTATACAGTCACCTTTGACAGTTTGGTGCTGGACGACAATGATGTGTCGCACGATGTGCGTTTGATCTTCTAGTAGTGTTTTTCCGATGGTTGCAGTGAAGTTGTTGGTGATTTGAAACTAGGAATCGAACCCAGAGCATACAATCTTATCATTAAAGCCAGACGTAGTATCAAAGTAGTAGAATGATCGCTACTTAATTTTTGCTCACGATTCCGAATAATTAAGAGTACCAGTAGTTCGAAGTCACGACGATCGCAAAGAGTTCCGCGATGCTGCATTACTGCTGTGTTATTAACGAAAGTCTTTCCATGACTTTGTATTTTAAGGCCTTGCATAGTGATAAAGACATGCTAGCGGATCACTTCCGGCCACGAACACAACGTAGACCGGAAATTATACACCACCCGCCATGGGGCAGTGATCTTTTTCATATAATTATTTTCTACGAGCTGACGCATGTCGCAAACCCACTTTAACGAGTTTGATGTTTTTAATTTTCGCTTATCATTAATTTTTGAGTTTTATCAAATCTTGGAACTGTGCTGAACGGATGGACAGTGATGGGATTTCTCGTACAATTTTCTGTTGCATGATTGCATTCACTAGTAAATTGTGTTTTTCAAGAAGCCATCCTCGTGGCCTGCACAGCTTGCAGCTGCTGCCAACCAGCCATTCTTTCGTCACTTTGGTATTACTTTTAACTCCGCGACCCATAGTCTGAGCAGACATATGGCAGATATGAGTGCGAATTCCTCAGCGTCCATCGGTCTGGAACCATCCGCACTGCGGCTGGCCAGCAGCATGAGACGTTCCCTGAGCAGTGGAGAGTTTAGCGACGTGCAGTTTTCCGTCGGACGGCAGTTTGGGCCAGCCAAATGTTTTCATGTGCACAAGTAAGCACATGCAGCATGCTACTCAACAGTCGACACTGGAAATGGAGCCCTGCGTTTATTTTCGTTCTGGGTAATTTGAACTTTTGAAGGTATGTTCTCTGCCTGCGGAGCTCTGTATTTGGCGCCATGATCTACGGGAATCTTCCTGAACGTTGTGATCAGCCAATCAATATTCCGGATATCATCCCCGATGCTTTTGGGAATATGCTCAAGTAAGGCCTTTGTGGTACAGATGGCACTGTTAATCTCTTTTTTATTGAACGCTGTGGTTTAGTTTTCTCTACACTGACGTTGTGGAGAATCTGAACGTGGAGAACGTCGTGCAAACGTTGACGTGCGCTGACAAGTACGATCTGCCGTTGCTAGTGGAGATGTGCCGCGATTTCATCAGCACCCACCTGAACGTCGACAATTGCCTTACCATCCTGGAGAATGTTTGTACAGCGTCCACATTTATATCTTCCTTATTTTTGCATTTTCTTTTTTTTTTGTTAGAACGTGTGAGGCTGTTGTAGGCGATTCGTTTCCACGCCGACGTGATCATTGAACGTTGCCTGCAATTTATCGACCAATGCGTTAAGGAGGTTTTCCGCTCCGAAAAGTTTGTCGTCGTCGATCAAAAAGCGGTCGTAAGGATTTTCCAGCGTGACACACTGTCTGCCACCGAAAATGACATCTACCTGGCCGCTGAGAGGTACTGTACAATTATTGCTTGGTGGAACCTATTTAACGACAATAATTCTTTTCGGCATAAAAAAGCAATGGGCTTGTCACTACTGAGCACGCCCCTGATTTAACCTTGCATATTTTTTTGGATAGCAGAATGGCTGGTTTGTTGCAGCGTAAAATGTATGCTTCCCAAGTTGCAGTATATATATCATCTTTAACTAATTTACAAAGACATGATGGAAAAGTAACATTTTGTGTGAAAATTCAAAAATAAGATTATTTGAAAGAATTTTCTGAAAATTTTTTAACTAAAGATCGCATTAATTAGCTGCCCAACAGACCGGTTGCAACTGCTTCATGCACCGGAAGCGCCTGAATTTTCTTTTCTTTAGTTTCCATCTTGGAAGGGTGCACATCGCATGCCATGAAATCGTGTTCATTATATTGCGAATTCGACTACCAACGTTTTTAACGTTGTTTATGACATGATGTGGCCGGATGATATGTTTACACTGGCGTGAAAGCCGTTTGTGCGCGGAGCATCAAGTTAGGGAGTTGGGGGTGAAATGTGAATGAAATTCTGAAAAGTTTAAACGCATATACAGAGTACCTACTCGAGTAGGTTGCCAGACTGATTGTAAACCTCTTTTTTTTGGCCGTGGTCATGTGAACGCCCATATCTGTATGCATGAAAATAGTTCTTCCATCAGAACTGAATTTTAAAGTATTTAAAATTTATTTTCAATAGCAGCAAAAAATAGTTCTGTCTGGTTCGGCGGAAGTGCCAGACAGTGAAATTTTTGAACGTATGCTGGTGTAATACATGAATTTGGTTCCATGTACCGGGTCAGTTCCCTTTAAAATTCGTTCATCCATTTTTCACTGTACGTGTGTACTGCATAGCTTTGTGTCCCAACAGGCGTCGGGTTATCACTGAAATTGCTGTCCGCTGGCTGTTGGTTTGGTAATCCGACGTAAATATTGTACTCATCAAGAGGATAATTGTTCCATTTCAGGTGGTCACTGGAAGCGTGCAAGGCCAACAACTTCGACCCATCAGCCGCTAACCGGCGCCAGATGTTGGGGGAAGCGTTGTTTCTCGTTCGCTTTCCGCTGCTGACCAATGCCCAACTGGCTGATGGGCCGATAAAAGTAAGCAAACCGTGCACTTTCAGTTCTTGCTGAACCCGAAAGGCATTAAGTTACACTGAATGGGGGCTTTTTAAAAACTGCTTCTCATCCTTGTCCGTTGCTTGTAGAGTGGCTTGCTGCTGCAGTCGGAAGTGCAGGACCTCTTTCAGCACCGGTTTGCCACAGCGAAACCCTCGCTGTCCTTTCCCGCCCTGCCTCGCACACACCCCGGCTTCCGTGTTGGCGAGCTCGTGTTCCAGAATAAAGAACTAGTTTTTATTCATCGCAGCCCGCAGTCCACCGCATGGTGCCCAGCGGTAATTATCGGAGTTCAGCAGGGAGAGTTTGTGTACGAGTGGCGCAGTTGTTTCCCTCAAGGCACCGGCACGGCAGCCGGTGCAAAGATTGTGCGGGCATCCGACGTCTTGAAGCCTGGCCTCGTGTTGTTTGCGAAAATTGAGAGTCTCGCTTACGCCTTGTACTGCCGGGCCGATGGCGACCAGCATGTCGTAAAGCGCTGTGGTCAAGAGTATACGGTTGGGATTGACCATTTAGAGTTGGACGACAGCCGCCTACATCTGCGCGTTTGAAACACTACTTTGATTATTATTACTATCATCTTTCTGGAGCAGACGTCCCTTTTCATGGGACTTCGACAGTGACATTACAGTTGTTAAAATGGCCATGTGGCATTGCTTTGCTCGTGTATGTAAGTGCACGTACGTACAAGTGCAGCGATGTCTATCCTCGTGAACGTGCATATTGTCCGATGTCCATTGTGCCGTGGCAACAACTGGTAATCGGAGCACCAGCGCTGGTGCGTTTACTACGTAATACGTTATGTCTATTTAGTTGGTTTTTGCTCGGCCAGCGAGCGGATAATTATAAAGGTATTATACCGCTGCTGCAAACGTGACAGTCTGGTGGTAGCAGTTTGCAACAATTCGCGATGATATGGTCAGGGCTTCGATCGGCTTCGTACCTCACTCACGTACAGAAGCCTCGGTTTTATACGGTTGCTTTATATTTCTCTATACAGATACAATATTTATGATACCTGCATTATATTGATCGCGGCATTTGGGGCTGGCCTCTTTGGCCATCTGTCGCAAAATAAAGTCCGAAGCCGTAAATAGCAGTATTGGTAGTTTGATTTGACCTTCCAGTATCCACCTGATGCCGTAGTATTCTGCCGGCCGTTTCCGTTCTTACCGCATGAAAATAAAGTAGAAAATACATGCAAAGTTTTCTTGGCAAAAATGCTAGAACTGCAATTTACTGTACCCGTTATCAAGGTGAATTTTGTGATTATAAGAAGCAAAATTGCGGATCAACCGGTGAGTTTAATTTTACTTTGTTGGATTTTTCTAGACGCTTTTTCTCTCAACTTAAATAAACATTTTATTCTCGATGGAATTTAAATAAAGAAGCAGCAGTTGCATCAGTCTTGCTGCCTACTTGCAACGGTAAATGACTTTCGGTCAGGCCTGGACAGTGTACAGATAGAAAGCTAGGGAAATGCAACGACAGTTTCCATAGTCAACTCCGCCCGTCTGCACGGCCACAGCATTCAAAAACACAGTCACAGTGATGACAATACATACATTCGTTTTAAAATTTCGTGCCCATTTAGCTGCGTTACAATTACTTCACTATACCTCTAAGAATCTGTTATGAAAACTGATGGAGGCCAGTGACGAATGTCCATCAATCTCTGCGCTATATGATGGCAGCAGTTAAGACGACAATTAAAACGATCAGATTCTTCGTTGAGAAATGCCGCAATAGCCCTCTTTTTTTGGAAATCTCGAGATATTAATTCTACTTGGTTAAAAGATTTATTTGTTTTGAAATAAAACCATGGAAACTTTATGGTTACGCACTTCTGGTCAGCCTCGGCAGTTCCGGTCAGTCTATATGATTAGCTGCGGGCGGAGGCAAATATCCTATGCCAACAGCGCGCTCGCCTCCCACGGGAAGCGCTCTGCTGGCCCTGCTCATAAAGGCTAACGGTTGCAGCAGCAATGGGGATTTTTATTTTTACACAGTTCTTGTTTAATAACATAAACTATTTAAAATGCCAAAAACTTACTTTTTAATACCCTACTTGTAACAGAGTGTTTGAAGAAACTGTTCTAAAACAATCATCAATAATTTTTTCATCTAAATTTTGTATTCAGCTGTTAGTCGTGCAATTAATCTCGCATCCGCACGATAAATTATCGTGAAAAAAGAACAACTCTAGATCTACGTATATGCGATCCGCTGCATCATCACTCTGCACGCCATGTCCCAGAACTCCTTTGAGCGCACAGCCCGGGAACGCGAAGCGCTATCCTGGATAAAAAAAATCGCTGGACTGCCAGCGAAATCGCGGAAAGCCCAGTGGAAGTGGCAAGCACGATTCCGTAGCGCCCTCAGCTCCCGAGCACCCTGGGCTCGCAGTGCTCGTTGACAGTTTGAAACAGTCGCTGACTAGCGGAGAATTTAGCGATGTGCAGTTCACAGTCGGACGCCAGCTTGGAGAAACCAGGACTTTTCACGTACATAAGTAAGTTTTGATTTGTTTTGTGCTGGATGCTAGAGTTTCCCCGTGCTACCCTGCCTCACGAAGAAGATTTTATATGCCCTTTCGCTATATGATTCTTATATCTAAAATCCATTAACGAAATACAATTAATTAGTATTTCGTTAATGTATTAATTACTGTACTAATTAATTAGTTAGTTACCGGCATTAAGATATGGTTTCCTGGAGAAAAAGGACTAATGTAAATTATTAATAAATGAAAACAATAAAGAGCACGAATGCCAGTAAATTATAAGCCGCCCAGAAATCCATGGGAATGCATATCACCCATGTCTGCTTAAGGGGGACGGGAATAATTTATAGCAGGACTCAGGAACCCCATTTTAGAAATCAGCTATTTTCTAAAATGAATTTATACTTGTTAAACAAATATTGCTCTATTTAAAACAAGTGAGATATCGGAGAACGGATGAGACGCTTAATTCTTACTCAGTTTTGTTTTTGCGAAGTGTGGTATATGTTGCGACCTTGTCGGTCGCGTGTATTCTCATAATTATAACCTTGTATGTCCTGACTTGCTTAGATACGAATATACGCTGTTGTCACGTACAACTGCATTAGCAGTTAGTACGTTCGTGGACAAGTTACAGTAAACATCAATAAACATTAATGTAGTATTATACAGTACGTACCCAATACTTCACATTGGCGTGAAGCTTTTTGAGCTCATTCGGGCCGTATGCCGCCCAAACCTCCTACGTCTACTAATCCAGTAAATCCTCAGTCCATTTCCGCTGCTACTACTACGACATCTACCAGCATTTCCGATCCATCCCTTACAGCTCCGTCGGGCGGGTCCGTTCCCCAAGTACTATTCCACCCAGTTCCACCCGTACTTCCGGATCCTTGACCAACCAGCGCGTGACATCCTCATCCAGCCCACTAATGGCCCAGCACATTCTACGGCTGGAAAAGTGGAATCCGGATGAACTCACTTGGACAGAATGGTACCAGAAGTTCGAAAACTACATTGAGATGACCGGCGTCCCTGATGACAAGAAGGTCAACCTTCTGCTGGACTCCCTAGGTCCGAAACCATTCAAGCGCCTGGTGGCCGTATGCCTTCCGGGTAAACCTAAAGATTTCCCATTGGATCAGCTGCTCGAGAAGTTACGTATCCGTTACACTTCCTTCACCTTCCGGAAAGTTCAAATTGCAAAATTCTTCAAGGTGACCCAGACTTCCAGTGAAACCTTAGAAGACTTTTCGGAAAAGCTCCAAGACGCGACAGCCTACTGCCAGTTCCCGTCCACAGTGCTGGACGATAACCTCTGCGCGGCCTTCATCAACGGTCTCCAGAACGAGAGTACCCGCTCTCACCTGATGACCCATGACCTTCAATCGTTCGAAGAAACGTTAGAACGCGCAAAGAAGTACGAAGCGGGCCGGAACGAAGCGAAGCAGTCCGGATCCCGTGGCGATGCCGACAATGATGTCCACAAGGTACAAGGCAAAAGGGCGTTCCGTCGCACCCCGAAATCCGGTTACAAATGCCGCAGTTGTGGTTCCGACAGCCACCAACGCGACGAGTGCAAATTCCGAAACGCCACATGCAATCAATGTGGGCGTAAAGGTCACATTGAGAAAGCCTGTGAATCCCATGGAACGAAGTATGTCTCCGTGGAGAAGTCGAACAGTTACTATGACCTTTCTATTCTATAACCTTCATTCCTAGTTTTAGTTTCTTTGAACTTGGGGAGGAGTTGTGGTATATGTTGCGACCTTGTCGGTCGCGTGTATTCTCATAATTATAACCTTGTATGTCCTGACTTGCTTAGATACGAATATACGCTGTTGTCACGTACAACTGCATTAGCAGTTAGTACGTTCGTGGACAAGTTACAGTAAACATCAATAAACATTAATGTAGTATTATACAGTACGTACCCAATACTTCACACGAAGCTTGTCATAAAAACTACTGACGCAGCAAGCAAATAATTTACGAGGCTAATAATGAGTTGTGTTTGTGTTTGTACTCATAATTTACGTACCAACTGTGTTTGTAATCATAATTTACGTATTTCGTAAGATAATAATTCGTAACTGCGGCTACCATGTACAAGCTAGTTTGTTCGGCAGGTATATTTTATGCCTACGCAGTCCGGTATTTCGTGCCATGTTCCATGGAGCCCTTGCTGAGAATTCGGATAAGAATATCGACATTCCGGACGATTCGCCCGATGCGTTTTCCAATGTGCTGAAGTGAGACACCTGTTCCCACGGTTGCCACCCATAGGGTGCCATTGGCCGTTGCATAGCACATGATTATTAAATATCTATATATTTATTTCTACTGTAGTTTTCTGTACATGGATTCGCTGGAGAATCTGACCGTGGACAACGTCTGTCAGACGCTGATGTGCGCGGACAAATACGATCTGCCACTGCTCGTCCGAAAATGCTCCGACTTCGTCAGCGCCCAGCTTGGCAGGGATAACTGTTTGAACATCCTACAGACTGTTAGTAAAAAAAAAATTGAAAAAATTACACAGCCGCACTCAAGCCGGTATCAGGGATTCACATTGATGCGGGCTATCGGTTTAGGCAGTTGAGTGTCATTCTGAAATCAATATTAGACTCTGTCTGGAATTTATCGATCACACCGGTGACAGTGTCATCTTCACGGAACCATTTCCCTTCCTTGCACTGACGATACTCGTGATGATTCTGCAGCGTGATACACTGTCCGCCCCGGTGTTCAGTATCTATATGACTGTCGAAAGGTACGCATGCAAGACCACTATATACCTACGTTCTTGACGTATGGCGAATACACCAGCTATTTTCGTGTTATCCTTGTGTCTACTGTTGTTCTGCGCTGTAGATGGGCGCAGGAGGCATGCAAAATGTCCAAGCTCGATTTTACTGGCGCCAACCAGCGTCTGCTGCTGGGCGACGCATTGTTCCTGGTCCGGTTTCCCTTGTTGAGTAGCACCCAACTGGCAGACGGGCCTGCACAGGTTATACTCATAAGTCTCATAATTATGATACTGCATGGTTTGGGGATTCGATCTAATTGTGACCGATTAACTCCGTTTCGTCTTTTATCGTAATCGCTTGACATGACTTTGATTTAAATTTTTTCAAAGGGAAAACATCCTTTTTTTTTGTAATAATACTATAAGTTATACAGTAAAACACCAATACAGTACAACAGTTATACAATACACAACACCGATACAGTTATACAGTAAAACCCCAATACTTCTATCACTAATTACAATTTGAGATAGTTTCACGAGTAAGGAAAACAGTTTCTTGTTAGTTGTTAGGCTATGAGCAGCGTTTGAAATCTGAAACGCACGAAAGCGTGAATGAAATGCGCAGCACAAAAGTAGAAACTCCTGTGTTGTACTTGTATCCTTTTTACTCTTATATTTTTATACGATCAGAGTGGCTTACTGCTGCCGTCGGAGGTGCAGGATCTATACCAGTACAGATTCGCTCAGAAGAAACCTTCGCTTTCCTTCCCCACAAAACCTCGGCAGTCGGCTGCCTACCGCGTCGGAAAGACCGTGTTCCAGCACGGGGAGCAGGTGTGCGTCAAGGAACGAACGCGTGGACAAATTTGGAATCCCATGGTGATTGTGGGAGTACAGTGTTTTAGCTACGGGTTCCAGTTCCAGTAGGCGCCTCCCCGCGCCACCGATAGCCCTGACCAATATAGCACGGCTATGGGCATGGACATTGTACGCACCGCTGACGTCCTGAAGTTCGGCCAGGCGGTGATGGCGTCTATCGCCAATACCGAGCGGAAGTGCATTTACCGCAGCAAACTGCGTGCGCAGCATGAGGTTGCAATCCGCGATGTACAGCATTTTGTCTACTTCAGGGATCTAACCATCGCCACAGCGGAACTGAAATTAAAAACCAACCAAAACGTGTGATCCCCCAATGGAAAATCGTCTCTGGCCTTTGCATGTACATGAAAAATACTATGTCGCTAACGTTTATTACAATTTGTTATTTGGAGCTTGCGCTTGTATTTGGAGCTTGCGCTGGTAGATGTGCCACAGTACGATATGTTCTGATTTTCTGGCAATGTGGGTAGCTTTTTACCGATTTGTTGTAATTTCGAATTTCACGTCTATCGGGTGGTGGGACTATAAGTCTATAACCGTGGCAGTGCATAATTTATTCGGTATACAAGTATCCCAAATAAAATTACTCTGGTGATTGGAGCAGGATGTTACATCAGACAGGATTTCAAGCAGCGTTTCGCAGTCTTTTCGGCAGCCTAGTGGGAAGATGTTGAACAATTTATGACAAAAAAACTGGGCAGTTGAAGAGCCAGGTGTTAGAGCGGCATCCGCTCTCTATAGGATTGTTTGATAAAACATTTCGATAGAATTTGTATGCTTTGCCCATAGCCTAGTGGTGCCTCTCTCGGCCTTAGAGTATGGTTCGATTCCCTCAATCGGCAGATTTTTTCCGAAGTTCTATACGATCCTACCACATCCCTTGCACAGGGCAAACATGCATAACAACAGCATCATCCTGTCATGGGCCTGCTGGGTTTGCTCCGCTGAGAAAGGTTTGGCGCCGGCAGAAGCCCGGCATGCCCCCTCGGGGAGGTGGCAGTGTTGGTATCTTTCAGTAGAAAAATGACGAAATTAGTACTAGTAAGTAGTAACATAGAAAAGGATATCTGTATTAATTTTTGCACCGTGCTAGTCCGTCTAACCTATAATTATAATTTTCTGGTTTTCAGTATTACAGGCGATTTCAAGCGATTCTTCATTTCGATGTAATCATTCCGTGAAAGCCTTAATTTGAAACACCTGGTTATACGTACGATGGAGTTGTTCTGAATTTGCATCTTGCTTGGTTGCATCCACCTGTTAGTGATACGTTATTCGTGCTAGGGTTGAAATTCACGAGGCTTAAACCCGTTTGTGAAACGAAGTGAAATGAAAGTGAAATGAAGTGAAATGAAATGAAATGTGAAATGCAGAAATTACCCAACGCAGTTTTTATTCATTTCGTAAAACACTGTCATTTTGAATAGCCCAAAATGTCTTTCAGACTAAGATTATAAGCACCGCTCAGTTCTGACTCGACAGCTTCATCACTTTCTTGCATCTGGTCGTAGCTGTACACCAGATCCAAAAAACTAATCTCAACATCCACACTGCCGGTTTTCTTGAGTACCATCTGAATCTAATGAAATTGATGAATCGACAATCTCCACAACTTCTTCGTCGTCCTCAACTTCCGCTTCAGACTGCTGCGTATTTTGTTCCCGTTTCTTTTCAGACTCACGTTCTCGAATAACATGCAGTTTGACAGCAACCAAATCCCGCGCTTTTTCATTAAGCAAACGGTTACGAGGCTTCGTGGCAATACTTCGCATCATACTCCAAATGCGTTCGATATCAGCAGCGTGGGGACACAGTTCGTGTAAAGCAAGGCCAATCTCAGAAAGTGCTGGATACACCGACGCAGCTAATAGCCAAAAGGATCGGTGATCAGCTTCCGATACAACTTCGTCAAACGGAGATTCTGCAAAATGTAACACTTTTTAGACGAGGGAAACAAAAGCCGCATTTGCAAGATCTCGTTAGCTTAAAACTCGGTGCCGTTAGGCAACATGCAAATTGTTATGAACGCTACGTATACCAGCTACAATCAGACAATACTGCTAAGAGTATTTCTATTTTAAAATTTTTAATTAAGTAGCCTTCTGAGTTAGCTACAAAGTCCCCGTTTATGCGATGCTTTAATTTCGTACCTTTATTCATAAATGCCACCACAGAATTTCCAGTGATTGAGTGCTTGGACTTCGGAAACATTTCCTTATGAAGATCTGTCGTCCACTGTTTGCTGATTATGTACGTATTATGACAGACAGTAGGGGGTTTTTTACCTTTAATACCAATTTCAAATCTAGAATGGAGCGAAAACACTTTGCGAACGAGTACCAACGGGTTTCGGTAGGCTTTTCAAGGGAAGTGTGTTGTCGATTAGGGTACATCTGCTTCGCAAATTTGCGCAACTTTCCCAGGAGAAACGTTTTCCGGTTAAAGTCCGTAACAATGGCCAGCGCAGATTTGCACGTGGGAGACAGAAACGGCAGCTGCAATACATCTTTGGTCCACAAGTTGAACTGGTGCGCATAACAAGGCAGACTAAGCATCGATGGAAACTCGTTCTTAAGAAATTTTCTGGCCTTAATGTGGGCTCCAGTAGAATCGCAAACCAGATACGCAGCTTCAGCACCAAACTCCTTGTACAACAAATCTTTTGCCGCTTTCACATACTCAACTACGTCTTCAGCAGTATAGGTTTTGTCACTGACGTTCTCCGCTGACAACAGTGTCACTGTAATCTTCCCTTCCGTGCGATACAGGAAAGTAAAACCTGGAAAATCAAGATACGTTGAGTTAATAACTGATCAATAACAGGCAGTCAAGTAAATAGTTACTTATTATAATAGGTCTTATAGTTTCTTATGTATTAGATTTTACTTACTACGGCGCCTTCAGTTTTACTTACTAAGTACGTTTTCTTTCCGGACATTCTTGAACGAATCCATAGACAACGTCACTGCTGGTTTAATGATCTCTAGCTTTTTCTTGACGGCAGTACTAAGCCTGGCAGCTTCTCGAGGCAAAACAGTATCGGACAAGCGTTGACGATGCGGTATATTTCGAGTAGGGATTCCTGGTCGCAGAAATGACATCATTCGTATAAAAGTACGAGAATTGAAAAAACTGAAGGCAAGAATATTTTCAGCCAGCATTTCCAGGAGAATTCGCTCGAACGGTTCTTTCTGGTCAGCCGTCAAGTCACGATCCAGAAAGCTCCTTAGAGGTTCTACGGCTGATTTCGGCTTCTTTGCAGAATCGACAATTGCGGATTCGTTCTTACGCTTAGACTGAATTTCCACAAGTGTTTTGTGTGCTGTTCCGCGTGACTCAGCAGTTCGGCGTTTGCACATGGACAAATGTTTCAGCATCACCGTACGACAACCACGAATGGGGTTTTTCTGCTCTTTGTCACAGTGCTTGCAGAAGACCTCGTACTCATTAGTCTTTTTGTATTTGATGGTGCCCTTTGTAAACTCATCAAATTCTTTCAGTCGGTGTTTTGGATCTGGTGCTCCTGCTGTAGGATTTATCAACAGACATTAAGCATGCAGGATTTTATCATTAAAAAGTCTTAGTTTACCTGTTGCATAAATGTCCTCCTCTTCTTCTTCTGCCATATTGATGACCTTACTACACCTTGATAGCTTCTTTCACTTGCAAAAGACAAAGAAAATCGAAACCATTCACGGTTCAAATGTTGGAACTAGGAGAACACTTTTGGATTGCAAAACACGAATGAGTAAATTTTACACAGATTACGCCGATGTAAACGGGCTTAGTGCAGCTGGCAGATGCGGGCGGTGAGCCCTGAAGTACTAAACATACTAAAAATCAGCAGTCAGCGCAGCCTGATCTATTGTATTGTCGGCATTGTTACTATCATCAGTAGTTCATATTTCGTAAATATTTTGATACTTTGCTATTTGTCATTGCTGTTTCGTTTCATCGTTTCATTTCGTGGATCCGCGTTTCATGCGGTTTCCCTATTTCACTGTTTCACGCATTTCACATTTCATTTCACTTCACTTTCACATTTCACGCGATGGTCCGCGTGATTATGAAATGAAAGTGAAATGAAAAGTGAAATGTGAAATAGTGAAAGCGTGATTTCAACCCTAATTCGTGCGTCATATTAAACGGTGCAAATCAATTCGAAAATTGATTTGCATCCTCACATTCGAGGAGAAGCTGCTAAAGAGATTGATCCATTTAAATGGGCTATGTCCCAAAATTTCTCGGCGTTCTCAACTCACAAACGCCTCAGCACATGCGAAGCACCGAAGTTGTAACCGCACCAACCGACGGTTTTGTGAAGCGTCGGATCAGCTATGTCGCACAAACCCCTAGCATCTACAGCTCCCGAATGTCCTGGACTAGTAGCACTGGTAGATAGCCTAAAACGGACGCTAATCAGCGGAGAGTTCAGTGATTTTCGGTTTTCGGTAGGACGGCAACTGGGACAAGCCAAGATTTTCCACGCGCACAAGCAAGCTGTTGAGATTTCCATGCTGGAGTTTTTTTGTCTAGCACGTCCAGAATTCTGTATGTCCGCTTTGATAGCTCGAAAGTCAAATCTCAATCCAAAAAAATATAGGGAAGCTTAAAATAATAAATTATTCTTGGCCGAAATAAGGAAAATAACTCAATCATCAATTCATCATCCAGAATCCATGTGAAAAAATACTTACTGATAGCCTTTCGTAAGGACACCTTAAGACTGCAGCGCACATTACATACCGTGACAGATAAATTGTTTTATAGTACATTCTGTGTCTGCGCAGCTCCGTGTTTCGCGCCATGTTCCACGGAAATCTGGCTGAAAGCGGGAGAAGATTATCGAGATCCATGATGATGCGCCTGATGCTTTTGCCAACATGCTCCAGTCAGGCACTTGTCTCTATGGTAGCCGCCCCTAGACGTTGATATGTCTTACATCGCTCGTTTGTAGTTTTCTGTACACGGACACCCTGGAGCATCTGAATATGGACAATGTGTGCCAAACGTTGATGTGCGCGGATAAATACGATTTACCGCTGCTTGTGCAGAACTGCTGCGACTATGTCAACGCCCAGTGGACCGTGGACTACTGCCTCATCCTTCTGCAGGACGTTAGTAAACAAATCACCGAAAAAGGGAAATACTCCATCTTATGTCACATTAACGGTGATATAGGCCATTGATTTGCATGCCGAAGAAATTGTGAAGCGCTGTCTGGAATTTATCAATCAAACCGGTGATGGCGTGTTCCTGTCGGAAATCTTTCCATCCCTTATACCGGCGACATTGGCGATGATTCTCCAACGGGATACCTTTGTCGGCGTCGGAGTATACCATTTATACTGCTGTTGAAAGGTTTTTATACTGCTGTGGTTTTCTTCTAGCTGATGTTATGCCCAGCTGCTGCCTGGACTGGCGGTCTTCCATGCCGTTGAACGCGCCGTTGTAATCGGGATGTGAATAAATTCTTTCTTACAGGTGGTCGCTGGAGGCCTGCCTAACCTGCAGGCTCGAACCCAGCGCAGCTAACCAGCGTCAGGTTCTAACCAGCGTCAGGAGAAGCGTTGTTCTTGGTTCGGTTTCCTCTGTTGAGTAACACCCAACTGGCCGACGAACCTGCACAGGTACGGCTGGAAAAAACTAAAACGATGCCATTTCAACATTTCTAAGACCTTTTCGAAATAATTTACAGTTTAAACTTAATGAAATATACTGTCAGAATATATTGGAAATTGTAAGAAGTTTCTAATGAGTTATGCTATAATCAGTTCCAGAATTATAATCAGTTTCGTTTGCTGCTGTTTGGCATGAGTTTACGAATCTTGCCACGTAAGAAGTATTTCCTGGACATTTCTGTTGTCCATTGGAGCATTTTTTTTGGTTTGTCCCATTTGGAACAACCTCGTTGGCTTTTAATTTTGCTCTTGAGTTAGCACTTTTTTTACAAATTTCTAATTTTTTCTATAAATTTTCTTGAGTTAGCATTTTTTCGCGCTTACGTGCCAACCGTTTGATTTTGAAATACTTCACAGAGTTGAAAATTAGCCGTATGACAGTGACATGCCAAGATTGCCAACACATATGCCGCAAAGTCGTCGCATCGGCGTCATAATAATTCCTATTGTGCCGACCCTGCCACCAGCACCAGTGTTTTCATTTTGCATTATATTTTCAGACCGATTTGCTGCTGCAGTCCGAGGTGCACGATCTGTACCAGTACCGCTTCGCTAAGAAGAAACCCCCGTTGCCCTTTTCCCCCAAGCCCCGTCAGGCCTCGGCCTACCGCATCGGGAAGACCGTGTTCCAGCACCGGGAGAAGGTGTTTGTGGAGGATGAAATGCACCGGCAGTTCTGGAATGCCTGCGTCATCGTCGGCATCCGGCGGTCGGAATTTCAGTTTGCGCTGCCCGACTATACGGGGTACCCAGGCGAGCACTGCACGACCGCGAGCCGCAACATCCGGCGTGCTGTCGACGATGTCCTGCAGCCCGGCCAGCCGGTGACGGTGTCCGTGAACAATACGGATCGGAAGAGTATTTACGTGTACTGCCGGGCACGCGGTGAACAACATGTGGTTAAGCACCGTGACCAGGAGCATATTGTCGACTTCAGCGACTTAACGATCATTTCGGGGGAACTGAGATTCAAATGCAGTCCAGATGTGTGATGGTAACTGCAATCACCTCTGTTCTTTGTACACGAACGATCATTACAATTAGCTCAGTGCATTCTTATGTTTATTTGGCAACATGCCGGTTTGCATGCTAATCGCGACTGCGCGGTTCAGGTTTCTTTTCCATGCGGCAATTTGCAAGCAAAACTTGTAGATCGGTTCCGCTGTAACTTGCAATATATTGCAAGCTTTATAATGGGACCACAGTGGCATCTGATTCAGTATTCCATATAAAATCACTCTGTTAGTAAAGTCTAAACGACGATCCAAGAGAGTTTGTCGAATTTTCCTCGAGCGAATGGAAAATAAAATAAACTGCTTTATTCGGTTTAGTTATTTCGAAATCCGCTTGTGCCCCCATTCGTTGCTCTGTTTTAATGATAATGTCTGCATTTACCCGTTTACATATTATTGTCTCATTTAAAAAATTTCCTATGCACTGGTAAAATCAGTACATTTTTAATTTGGGAGCCCGCTGTCAAAAGGCCAAACCACCAAAGCCTGGCGGCTTAGAAACAGCCGATCCTCTTAAACGTGTCCTTCATAGAATAATGGATGCTCCCTACAAGAGAGGACACTTCCGGTCTCGAAGAATAAATTAATGATAAATTGCACGGCACCCTCCTTGGGGTAGCGTTCTGTCGGATGGCCAGGCGGATGCCTATGGCAGCCCTCGATGAGATGGCGGGCAGGTTGCAGCTGTTGTCTTCTCCGCATCAGATACGAGATGACGTTCTGGTTTTTAAAAATACCTATTATTTATTAATCACGGATTCACGGTTATCGAAATCGTTTTGATCTTTAAATACTTGCCGTTGCGAATTTTGTTGCTTTATCGACGTGTACAAGGCTATGAGCCATATTTTCTGCAAGAAAATCCATAACATTCTGAACTTCTGTGTTGCATCATTTTGACAGCTATCAGCCACGGATCTCAGAATCATGTCTGCGCATTCCTCAAGGTCCACAGGTCTTCGCCGATACGGAATGACACTCATCAACGGCATGGAGCGTTCATTAAGCAGTAAGGAATTCAGTGACGTGCAGTTCACAGTCGGACAAGACTTTGGGCCACCGAAGCTCTTTCAGGCGCACAAGTAAGCACTCTGCAGTTGCACTGATAGGCTGGTAGGATCCTGCTGTCGATTCTGCGGTACAACCGTGTTTTGTTTAACAAATGACAGGTACGTACTGTGTCTGCGAAGCTCCGTGTTCTGCACCATGTTCTACGGAAGTCTGCCTGAGAAAGGCGAGGAGCCTATCGATATCCCGGATGTTGTTCCTAATGCCTTTGAGAATATGCTCAGGTTAGGGCCGTTAGGCACTGCTTTTCTATTGCATACATTGCATTTATTCTACCCAGTCCACACCTTAAAATATATGGGTATATTAGTTCTCACAAATTGTGCGTTTTTTGCGGTGTGTGGTACTCAGTATAACACAGAGTTACAACGATGTGTGATACTCAGTATTCAAACGTGCGACTTGTATGGGTCACTGGATATTTTTTATGGTTCCCTTGATATGTTTTTTGCCCATTGCAGGTACCTATACACCGATACGGTATATTTGGGGGTGGGCGACGTCTGTCAGACGTTCATGTGCGCGGATAAGTACGACGTGCCGTTGTTAATGGAGAAGTGCTGCCAGTTCGTCAGCGCTCATCTTAGCACACTCAACTGTCTGACTCTCCTGAAACACGTTAGTCAAAATTCATCATGCCTCTGTAATCCGTATCTGGACGTTGGCTGATATTTCATTACAGGGCGTGGAATTTCATGCCGAGGAGATAGTCGAGAGCTGCCTGGACTTTATCGACAAAAATGCTGACGAAGTCGTTCCCGAGGACGATTTCACGGTCATTGGGCAGGAGTTGCTCGTGCTGATGCTGCAGCGTGACACGCTGCTGACGGAGGAACATAACATTTATTCGGCTGTCGAAAGGTACTTGAACATTGTGGATCAAAGGTTGAGCTGTTCATAAGAGTTTTTGTTTTTCCTAAACAGATGGGCGCTGAAGGCATGCGATTCGCATAACCTGGATGCATCCGTCGCTAATCGGCGACAGATTCTAGGCGAAGCACTGTTTCTCGTTCGGTTTCCGCTGCTGAGCAACACTCAGTTGGCTGATGGACCTGTGAAGGTCAGTGCATCCTCTGTTATATCATTGCAAACCGATCTCGGTTTACAAAAATAACATAAGAAAATTTCTTTTATCGAAGTAATCGCTTAATGCCTACGTAAACCGAAGCTAGTATTATCCTCCTGATAGCGTGTTCTTATCCGGTGCTATCTATCATCATATACTGTAGCGGCATTTGACTTATTAGTCTCGTTTCCCACAATACAATTAAACGTTATTTTGGAGCAGCTGTTCTACGTAGTAGAAATGCTGAAACGATTCCAGAAACCATGCTGTTGGGCCCTGCTGTACAGTAGCACCATTAAATGAATTGCTCGTCTAAAGTCCCCATTTTTCGCTGCCTTTTTCGTGTTCCAGGGTCTGCATATCATAATACAGACCATGCATATTCGATCTGCCTGTCGGGTTCAGTGTTGCTATAGCTCGGCTTGAATGAATTACCGTCCGCAATTTACAAACCGACCTTTCCTTGTCGTTTGGTTAAGTAAATAAATTGTTGACTGTGTACAGCCGTTTCGGAAACAGCTAGTTACATAAAGCAATCGCAAAGTACGGCTGTATTTTTTGCAGAGTGGTTTACTACTGGAGTCCGAAATTCGCGACCTATATCAGTACAAGTTCGCCACGGTGAAGCCACCGCTGCCCTTCTCCACGGAGCCACGGCACGCCCGCTGGCATCGTATCGGGGATGACATCTTTCTGCACGAAGAAAAGGTCTTCGTGAAGGCTGGTTACTTTCTGCGCAAGATTACATGGGCTCCAGCGGAGATCATCGGCATCGAGAGAGCGCAATTCGAATGGCGCAGCGTGACGCATTCAGAAGGAGGTCCCTGCGGCCTTGCAGAGATTGTGCGGGCATCCGATATTCTGAAGCCAGGCCAAGAACTTCTGGCGGGTGTCCATGGTGACAATAATCGTGTTGTGTACCGCAGAGCCAGCGGTAAGTATCATATGGTTTACCGCAAGGGTGAAGAGTTTGGGATGGAATTCGGCCAGCTAGGATTCAACGATGCCCAGATGAATAAATTTCTTTCAACCAGAAGGTAGTGACTATCGATAGGCAAAGAGTGCGATGCAGATGGTGTATATGAATGAGAACTGTTCAGAAATTCTTTCTCGTGTTCTTTCTTGTTCGGTTAATCTTGGACTCACGTTTTCCACTCGCGGCGCGCCGGCAGTGCTGTTATGGTGGGGATCGGCTTTTACCTACCGGCAATTTTCTGTATTTTTTTACAGCATTTATCCATGCTGCAGCAACTTGTTGCATCATTTCTGTTTGGAAATTGTATGAAAACTGTATCTTTACTGAATGGATTTTGATGGATTTTTTTTTAATTCTTAGTGCAGCATCAGTACTTGAAACGCATGTACAGAACAAGTAATAACAAGCGCGTACGTGCGCTCTGTACAAAGTTTTAATTGCAGTTAGTGAAATGTAAGGTATTTAAAAAGCAGTCAAAAAACGACATCAGAACTCAACGTAAGCGTTATTATCTAAGTGCGCATATTATGCAGCTCTTAGAGTCTACTCAAGAGCAGCCAGGCAGTGCCGCAGCCGGAAACACCTTCCCTATATACAAGTTGCACAGTATGGCGAAATTTCCTTTACGTATACGAGTTAGTTACTTATTCAAGTGCAACTGCACATGGCCACAATAAAACAGATTAGTTTGCTTACACATTTAAATCGACAATCGAGCCTGTTGTTGCCCATAACTACTGTAGTCTTTAAGTATGTATAAAAAATCAGTTCGCCGATGAAAGAAGCACTGCATGGGAGCTTAGTGAACATAGCAAAATAAGAACAGCTAGTGCCAATTCCAGCCCGGTGAAACCGTTCAGCGTGAACACAATTGCCCACGGCGAGCAAGTTCTTCAGCTGGCGAATACGTTTCCAGGCGTGATGCCGTGACAGCAACGCATATTTTGGCAGCTGCGGCAGCGCCGACTGCCAGACCGCCCCCGTATCCTCCGCTGCGGCAGCACAGCACTTCATCCATTCACTTTTTCTTTCAAATCCGCCATAACACATCATTGTTCGTTCGGAGTACCAGTCCCAGCTCCGTCCGGGCAGTATGCATGCCTTCTAATAAATGAACACAGGCAAGGCAAAGCGAAGGCGTTCAACTTGTTCCCGTACCGGACGGCTAAGTCGAAGCACATAGCAAACGTTCTTCACCGTCTCCTATTGCAGAGGAAAATGCTTTCCTAGGCATAATATGGTAGCATAGTATCTTTCTACATAAAACGAGGTTTTCTTAATTTCACTTTCATGCTTGGTAAGCCGAATTACCTAAACTGGTATACCTGTGCTTGCATTTTTTCAGAAAGCTTTGTCTCCTGGTTTTTTTGATCAACAAGTATTATTTTGTACGAGATCTGAGATTCTGGCTTACAGATTATTGCAACAAAAGCAAGCGTAACTCCATACGTTAAGCAAGAACGCCGTAGTCAGTTTTCGCTTTAAAGCCTGTTAGTTACTGGGAAAGTATCGTGGCTTTATCTGCATAATAGCAAAGACTTTCCGAAAATTACGACAAGCGGTTGCAGACTTGCAGCGCAGCATCAACACATCATCATGCGTTCCCGGTGCATACAGTGCGAGCATGCCTGATACATAATCTCGGTCTTTGAAGAGTGTCAGATGCCGGTGGCAGTTATCAGTTTGAATTGCATCAGATGGGTTACCAGAAACCACGGACGGACGGTTGATTTACATTTATAACGCGCGCGAAGAAACGAGCGGTAAATGTGGCCATCATGTCGCACAGAGTAATTAGGACTGCTTATTCCACTTCCGTGAATGTACTGTAAAGTAAAGTACCAATTAAAATCTCAGCAAGGGTTATAAACGATAACAAGCTTCATTTATAACCTTTGCCGCAAATTTTATAGCATTTTCTCTTCCGTCAACGTGGTTCATGCCAAACACAATGGATATGTAACTCCTGTACACAGTCCTTGGTATCGTATCATAGTAAACCCAAAGGTCCCGATGTGAAAATGTGTTGACATTGCACGAGTAACGAATATGCCAAGAGGGTTGTATAATTCAATCAAAATTGGCCCTCCTAGAATGATTAAAGTCAGAATGTTAGTTTAATCTAGTATAAGACAGTAGGACCATGGCTCTAAATCAGTTCAGAAGAATGTAAGTTAGGGAAATGCGTCATAAAGATGTCGGCGCAAAAAATTCCTCCCCAAAAGTTCTCTTTGCATTGCCATCTTCATTATGCACAGCCTTCTTCTTGCAGGCTCTGAAAACCAGGAATCAGAAATACGCCGAAAAGGTCAAGCTAAGGTTGCGACGCACAAAGTAAAAACTTGATCGCGCAACTCAAAGTTGCCAGTACAGAATTCCTATGTTCCGAGTGCTTTGGACATCATCCACGGATCGATTGGCGTCCTCTGCTTTAACTGAGTCTAACAGACCGACAAAGCGAAACTGACATAACGTTCCCCTGCAAAGATGGCCCGAGAGAACAAGGATGAACCCCTATGAGCGTGCTGTACCAATGTTCTCAAAATACACCGATGGTATAAAAAGGAATGATGGATAGTGGTTGCTACTGTTGAAGCCACAGCGGACGCGGTTACCGATCAAACATTGCCGGCGTGCTCGTTCCCCACCTCACGGGATTAACGTCAGCATAAGCGACGGTGTAGTTGGAATCTGTTGACGTAAACCTGTAATTTGACTCTAGAAGCAGAAGTATTTTTCCACTGAGCGAGAAAGTGTCAACAATTCCCCTCGTCCGTTTGTTTGTTCTCTAGAAAGCTACTTCCCGTTTGTTCACAACGAGCTAAATCACTTTCCACGAACAGTAATTCATATTACAGCGCCAGCTTCCTGGAGTGCTGTGGTGTTCTCGTACAAGTGCCTTGCACCATGCAAAAACCGAGTCATCCAGCAGCAGTTGCATTTATCATCGGTTTCACTAAGAATTCATCATTTCACTATATCATGCAGTATTCCGCGGACTGCCATCATCATTCAGCGTTATTTAAATATGCGTCGAAGTCCACAACACTGACCGACATGCGCTGGCACTGCCATGCTCAAAACTTGCCGCCGGGTTTATCTGTTATCATTGTGCAAACTGCACATCGCTTTTCCTGTGAATAGGTACGCAGCTGTCCCAGCTGAGTCTGTTTCAGAGGGTAAGCTATCGTTGAAAAATATGTACTTCGTTCAAAAGCGCATTCACAGCCGCGTTCGTATGAATTTGGAAAATTTCTCCGTCCGGATTTATTAATGCGTCGTCTTCGCCCCGACTGAAATCCGGTGTTCTTCAGGACTTTTTTTTGTCATCTAGATATTTGCGACAGGTAAACTACAAATATATGTTGAAGACCATTAAAAACGCGGACAAACACTATGTACGTCAGTTATTCCAAGTCTACTCACTTTCGTGAACTCCCTGTGTCTACTGAGTGGTTGCAAATCGCCGGAAGAGGCTTATTAGCCAGTACCGTCAAAAACCAAAATGCGGTTGGGAAAGGATCTCCGTGATTGTTAGCCGACATCTCAAAATTACAATTAGCACGAAATTTAAATACGAAAATACGCATATATAGGTATTGTTCAGAAAAGACCAAATTTCAACTGCCCGTATTTTTGGCGCTGTTTTTGCTGATGGATGTTGTTATGACTTTAGTTTAACGCGGTAACGCTCATAACTGTACAAACTGTTTTCGTCAGATGTACAAGCTGATGTACCGTCTGTATGAGTACAGTATAATTTACAAAACGGAGCTATCCATGCGGGTATTAATTGTAAAACGTGCCGTATCTTTCCTTCATCCAGTGAGAAGACAGTTCCGCTCGGAAAGTTATGAATCATAATCCTGGTCGAAACAAAACCAGAGCGGAGATAGGAAAGCAGAAGAGATTGAGGACGTATTTTGTGAATAAAACTAATACTTCTCGGCATCTTGAAAATTTGAGTAGTCCACTGCTGCATCAGAGTCTGGCAGTCTGGAACAGTGAATGCAAATTCGGGCACTTCCGGTCGCGAACATTAAACGGGGCATGCCATCCACTTGGTGCAGCGGTCTGTCGAGTGTCGGCCATGGCAGTCCTCACTGAAATGGCGCGCAGGCTACAGCTGACATCTTCTCAGTTTGAACCTTCATATTCGCGATTGCCAAATAGCTTTTCAGTTTTGAATTACAGTATGTACCCTGACCGTACAGTTAAAAAAAGTGTTTTGATTTTGTTTGTCAATTTTTGGAAGAGCTTTATCGGTGTGTCTCGGACAATACTTCTCGCGTGAATTCCGGAACATTCTCAGTTCTTCTTAAGACCATCCTGAACGAAGTTCTATGACACAGTACAGCGAAGATTATGCCTTCACTTCCCGCAAATTCTTTTAGGCAGTATATGGTTGATCTCCGAAACACTTTTCTACATTTTTCGTATTAGATCAAATTTACTTGTGGTACAGTTATTCAAGTGTGCATACTGCGCTTAATTAAAAACGGATCATTTTGCTTGCACATCAAGTTGACAATCCATGTTGCTGTTATACTGCCAACGCATGCTGTTAATGTTGTTGAAATGTCGTAATGAGACTAATGACTAACCTTTATGTTTGTCAGTTGGGCTTTACTGCGCATCAGATCATCTTGACATTTCCTGTGGAATGACCCGTGTTTTTGTACGTGCACCAGCTACATGCTGCCTGTCTTGATGTATCGTTCCACGCCTGTCTTGTGCCGCGCACATACGACTTGCATTCTTAGTATTCCTAAGTTTATTAACTGCAACAGTCCATATCTTCTTAATTGTGGTAGAATAGGTTTGTAAAACATAAAAGTAAATTCACCTTTAATAAACCAATTCACGTATGCGCACTATACGATCCGCGTTTCCGCCATGCCGCTAATCATTAACTCTCAATAAGCCAAACGTAAGTAATTATCAGATTACATTGTGTTAATAATGTACTCGTGACTACCTAAATTGTACAGAATATAACAGTTAATATGCTACGCAATGAAATGATTGAAGCAGTTAAAACAAGTTATTGCGTCTCTATCAAAAGCTTTGGCCGACAGCCATTAACAGCGAACCTAAGTAGCTCTACAGCGTAAAAATCCAAGCCAAAGAAACCGAATTCTTCCTGCAACTTGGTTGGTCCAATCAGGTAACCCTTTGACTCTGCAGGAGAACGTCAAAATTAATAATTTAAATAATCAAATTTTGTTCTCTAACCAAGCATAATACTATAATATAGTTTTATTAGAATGCTGCATTTTGCAGGATCTGTGAGAAACTCGACACATTGAAAGCGTGGTTTCTCATTAATTGTCGGTTCGACTGATAAGCCCTGCTTCCTCCGCCCATTCCGTATTCGACACAAGCCGGCTCTCGACTACTTTTAGCTGCTCCGTAAAGATGTCCGTGGCTGCCGTACTCGCTAGATTTTCCATCATATTTGCAACTGGTAATGCTGCGGTAACGGTTTTCAAAAAGTCTGTACCCATTTTTCCGTAATGCAGTTCTGGCAACACTGCATTCGCGTCCAGGGCCGTTGTATCCATATCGCCGCCTTGAGGCAGCGCGATATCTTTGCTTACCATAGCGGTAACGCATCCACTCAATGCCTGGTCTAGTAGATTATTATAAGCGCGGTTCCGGTTCGCAATCACGACACCAGCACTGCTATTCTTCGTTGCTAACGCCACAGTCGATTTAGATGCCATCAAACCAACCATCGAATTAACATGCTTCACACTCGAGCCAACGGCACCAGTGGTGTTTTGTTGAAGGTCAAGCGTGGTTGCTCCGTTTGTTGCTCTTAAACCGGTACCGTCGGCGCCGTCGCGTTTATTCCGATGCACGGTGACGGCTGCGGCGCCACTTTCAAAATGCCCTCGCACTCCATCCTTGCCGCGACTAGCGTTGAAACGCGCTTCGCCCGCTCTGAGCTTTCCGTTATCTTCTTCTTATCAGCCTCGATGGCAACGGCGGCATTTCCATGTCTCCCGTGCAGAGTAGCTCCGTTCTTACTTCCTATCACTCCAACAGCCAGAATATTATGTTCCGCATTTACCGCGAAATGACCATTGCTGTTACTGTTTAAGCCAAACTTTGATTTTCCTGCAGCTAAATTAAAAGCTGCACCACTTCCATCCGCAGAATAGCCAACAGTGGATCCTTCGTGTTTAACCTTCAAAGATTGCTCCGCATCACTGGCGTTGAACGTCACCGCCGTTTTGTCGTATCCCGCATTCATGGTCACTCCTTTCTTGTTGTTGCTAGTAAGCTTCAGGTGCGATTTGCCAGCACCCACGTCCAGTGCAGAGCCAGTCGCTTTCGTGGAGTAACCAATTCGGGCTTCACCATGTGATGCTGTCAGAAAACTCCCGGAATCATTGCCACCAAGTTTAACTACAGTCTTCCCGCTTTGTGCATCGAGTACACATTTGCCATTGCGGTTCGCGACATTAAAGCGCTTATCGCCAACTTTGACGCCCAGCGCAGTGCCGTCGGAATTTTTTGATAAATTAAATTCTGTATCACCGTGTGTCGCTGTCCAAGACGCCTCGGATTGGTGCATTCCGAATTTAACAGCTGTTTTGCCGGCTTTAACGTCCATCCCAAACTTTCCGTCATTGTTGCCGTCAACGCCGAGATGAAAATCACCAGCTCCCGCGCGCAAGGTAGTGCCGCTGCTGTTTTTTTTAAAATCCACACTGGCGTCGCCATGTCGTGCCGAGAAGGAGCTTTCTCCATTACTTTTACTGAACCTAAGGGCTGCATCTCCACTTCCAGCGTCGATGTTAAGTTTTCCATTTCGGTTACCACTGATGGTCAAGTGTGACTGGCCCATATTAGCGCTGAAATCGCCACCATCCGCGCTACCTGAGTAACCGAGACCGCTGTCACCATGCTTCAAATTGACATACTTTCCGGAATCGGTTGCACCAAAGGCCACAGCGGTATCACCGCTAACGGCACCCACACTGAATTTTCCCTTATTGCTGCTGTTGAAATCAATCCGCGAATCACCCGCATTTGCGCTGAAAGTACTGCCATCGCTGTTCTTGGAAACATCAAATCCGGCACCTCCATGGGATCCTCTCAAATAACCACCAGACTTTTCCGACCCGAGCGCCACGCAGGTACCCTCATGTTGCGCGCCAAGATCAATGTCCCCGTCTTTCGTTGTGCCGAGCGAAAAGCCTGAACCTTTAATCGCTGTTTTAACTGAGCCACCATGTTTTCCAGCTGCAGCATTAATGTCGATGTCCCCGTGTATGGCTGTAACTGATCCGCCGGTTTTATCACCTTCTACACGGTACTCAAAATCACTGGTTTTTACTCCGATATGTCCACCATCTTTTCCAGCTCCTGCACTAATGTCAACAACCCCGTGTTTGGCCTTAACCGATCCTCCAGTTTTATCGCCTTTAACACGGTATTCGAAATCACTGGTTTTAACTTTGACATGTCCGCCAGCATCTTTCAAAGAATATCCCGCAGATATATCTGTCTCCCCCATGCGAAATCTGGCGCCGGCACCATCTTTCTCCGCATAACTGAAACCGGCTTCGAAATCGACCACACTGATATTTGCTTCAATCTTATCTTTCCCCAGAATCAGCCCGGCACCCACACCGTTGATGTTGACCTTTGCTCCGGTCTTACTGGCGTGTAGCGCTGCACCAACAGAAGACTTGTGCTCTTCGGTGACAATGCGTCTAGCGTTCGCATCGCGGTTGATGGTTGCCGAGTGGTACGCTTCTGCAACGTTTCCAGTGGATGATGTCGACGCGATAGTTGCCCGGACTTTACCTTTCCGTTGATGGGAAGCGTCGGAATAACCTGCGGAGTACGAGTTCGCTTGAGGATTTACCGATAGTGCCCAGGAGTTGGCGCCATGGTCTAAATACTCGTCAACATCTTTCGTTTCAACTTTCTCCACAATATTTTCAACGTTCCCGTCCGAAGTGATCGAAGCGCCAGTTAGCATGGCCTTTTTTATTCGCAAATCACTGGAGCGTAGCGATTTCCTTGAATGAATTCCGGATATTTGATCCACGTGGCCGGACTTTGTTTGACTGTTGCTCATATCAAACCCTGGAACCGGGACTGGAATACCGCTCACCATTACGAAATTGAAATCCACTGTCTCCTTTTTGCTGGTTTCTTCGCCAGTCGATAAACTCGATATGACGTCCAAGTTTTCGATATCTCCGGTAACTTCTTCCGCATTGAGATTGGCATCGTGCATAGCCAGATTTTTAACATTTTTAAAGGTCACCTTACCACCAACGCATACAATTTGATTCTGGTACGTTGATGATTTCTTTGCAGATGTATCTTCCGTGAACGAAAGGCACATACTCAAAGCGGAAAAAGATCCTTCGAATGAATGGGCACTGGACTGCGATCGCAGATGGGCACCGGTAAACTTCACATCCTCCACATCGACCTCCATACCATCAGCCACTTCAAAATTTATACTGTTTTCCACGTGGAACTGCTTGGCTTTAACGTTGAGCTCTCCCACGCTGAAGCTGTTGCCAGCCAGCCGATCCTGTATGGAATTGGATTCCTCGGCTCTGTAGCCGAGTGATCCAAAACCGATCGTCAAGCCTGACCAATTTTTGGACTGTGTATCGGTCAAAATGCGCTCTTTGATTTGCGCTTTGCCCCGTTCAGCTATCAAATTCACCTTACCGGCTGGCAGCGCTGTGGACCCTTCGATAAGAATATCGCATTCGTCGGAGATGATGGTATTAAGACCAATACTTTTATTGAATAAATTGCTTCCATGACTGTTTGGCTTCGCTTTCCATTCCGTTGAATTCCGCAGTCCCCACCACGTGCTTTGATCGGTCGTGATACGGCAGGTGGTAACAAGGTCCAAGAGTTTGACGTCTTTTCGAGCCCTCAAGTAATTAGATTCTTTCCCATTTATATCGGATGCAATGCAAGTAATGGCGTCGTTTTCTGCGACCATTATTTGCTTGCCCTCCGCTTGGACGTCGGAGCCGTCAACTTCGGTCCACGCTACAGTTGTTGTCCTCTTTTCAAAACCGAAAATCTCCTTGATGCACGGCATCGAAGTTTGTCGCAGACCTTTTCCCGTCTGTGCATCATCTACTGTTGCAGGAATTACAGTAGCTGCACTAAGCTCCTGCACAGTTTAGCAAGCATTAATGCCTAAGGTAAAATTAATAGGAATTATTGTTTTTAAAAACTAGACAGTTTGGATAAAACCTAAAAAGACTGTTTTCCTGAAAGGAGCCTTAATGTTTTCCTAATCTCACCTGTGACACTGAGGTCGTACGGTTTATTGATCGACCCAAGAATAATTGCTTGGTCCGTAACGGCTAAATCGAGTTTATCCGAAATCTTCATCGCTGCAAACGCGCCACTGCCGTGCAGCAGTTTAAACAGCTCGTCCTTTTGCATTCTCTTGGTCTCCAGTTTCAACGAACCAAACTCGTGATCCGCACTGCCGTCAGCATATTCCAGCTGCACCGTGGATGCACCAGATAAAGTAGCCTTGTCAGTAGCAACCTTGCCGGTAAGACGTACTGCTTGTTCATGGCTTTTTGCGCCCATATCCTTCGCTTTGACATTTGCGAGGGTGACATCATTCTTGGCTTCTGCGATCAAGCTGTCAACATCCACTTTTGACGCGGAAACAGCACCCAGCTTTGCGTCAGCCTGTAGGGTTTTCGCTTTGACGCCGGTGGCGCTAACTGAGCCTTCCTTGGAAGACGCCATAATCTCTCTTCCTTTCACGCCAGCAAGGTTGACGTCGCTCTGTGCTGTTGCTTGTAAATGTTCTGCATCCACATCCTGCGCATGTACCGTCACACCTGACACTAACACAGAATCGGCTTTTGCGCCAGACATACAAACGCTGTCTGATTTCGAAGTTAACTGTGCCAGTTTGGCGTTGATGTTGCTTGCTTTCAGGGATTTATTAACCTGAAAAAATTGTTAACAGTGAGAGCCGTTAGAAGGAGGCCTTGTGATAGATGCCTACTAACTATTAATTATAAATCGGCATCGCCAGCAATTCCTGTGCAAATCAACAAATATTTACTTAAGTAGCTGAATGGAAAAAATTATTTTTCGTATAGGTCAAATCAACACGGGGGAATGCGCGTGGAGAGTGTTAGATTTGCCGAATCACACAGATTAGTGGCACCGACTGGCACGGCAAAGTAATGAAAGACTTACGATTTCCAGCACCCTAATAATTAAAATACCAATAAAATACGTACTTACTTCCAGCAGTAGCATCTTGGCAGCGTTAATGTTACTGACGTCCGCCTGCTCTGCATCCAAGAACACCGAACCGTACGCGCTGAGCATGCGCCCAGCCGCGGACTGTTTGATCAATGTGCTGCCGCTGATGGCAATATCTCCAGCGCTGGACGACACAGTTCCGTCATTCACCCACGATTCAACGAACAAAGCCGTATATCCCGCTCCTGTCGTCATGACACCGGAATGATAAGCCCACATTCCACTTTCCTGCACTCCCTTTTTCGTTGGTTCCCCCGCTTTAATCCCAGTAAACCCGAATTGCTCGTGGAGTGATTTGAGTTTTCTAATACCCTTGTTGTACAATTCCCGGGCCAGCTTTGGTACCTGTAGCAATCGCCCTTTAATAGATGAAATGTTCTGGAAATAGCTATTGGCTTCCATCAGTTTTCCGACTAGTTCCGGTACGTCAAACGTCTGAATACCGCTGGTGTTCATTTTGTTAACAATTTCCCGGGTTCCTGCGTACAATTTCACAACATCCCGCAACTCGATTTCTGTCCGTCCCGTTGAAGCCGAAACTGATTGGATCGATCGCTGGATATCGTCCAGCGAGGCAGATGATCCCAATGTAAAATTTTGATTCAAGGCGTCAACGGTTTTCTTCCAGTTCTCCAGCTGATCCTTACTCGGAGTTTCCGCTTGGGTTAGTGTACTAAATTTGAATAACAGTACCGATCCATTCTGGATGCTTTCGGCTGACATCTGGCTTCCCGAGCAAAGGCACACAAGCGACTTTATGTCCAGCACTCCTTGTTTAGGATTGCTTCCCATTGCAGCGGTATCGCCGGTCAATGAAATATTAAAAATAAAAGGCGACGCAAAGGTCATCAGCGGTGCTCCTAATTGACCAATATTGGCGAACACTAAATTCGAGTGAATGGAAATTTCGTCGATGGCTTCGTTCAGTCGCCCGGTACATAGCAATCCCCATCCAGTTAGTGAGAGTTTCTTGCAGTGACTGACTTGACCTTTCCATGTCATCCATTCTCCGTCCGCTTCAAGGTTTTCGATTGCCTGAAATTTTCCGGTCGGCAGCAGCTCAAAATTGTCTCGAGCTATTACCTGACAAAGTTGTAGTTTTCCGATGGTCCCCGATACAAACAACTTGTCCACTCGCAAAATGGCGGACGCATTCTTTTCCGTTCCTTCAATAGTGCCTTCGACAGTTACGGCCGGCTGTTTGGTCTCATCTGCTGCAGACAGGAACAGTTTACGTTTAATGTTGACTGTACCAACAACATTAACGGTTTGCGTTGATAAAAACACAGTGGCTTCTCGCTCGATGCTGTCCATCGTTACTACGGCATCTTTGAGAATAATGGCAGACTGGCAGTCGATATCGTCTGTGCGGAAATTCGTCAGTGTTCCAAAGTGCAGAGAGCCACACTTTGCCATTATATGTGCGAGCGACTGAAGTGAACCAGTACCCTTTAAAGCAAATGATTCAACAGTCTCGGCGACGCGCAAGTAGGTCACATCCGTCGAGCCGTCCATGACAAATTCCACGAGTTCTCTGGTGCCGGTTACGTTAAACCTGGGAATCAGCAACGACCCATGCGCAGTTACAATAATCGTTGGAACAAGGTTTTCGGTAGTACGGTTAGATTCTTTCCTGATGACCTTTACTTTGCAGCTGGCTAGGCTAACCGCCGCATCGATAATGACCTGCCCGTCGAAAATGAATGTCGTAGCCGGTTGTGTCGCCGTGTTCCATTGGATCGGAGTCTTTATTCTTGAGAAGTCTGACGATTTAATTAAGAACTGCTTTTCTGGAAGTATCAAGGCCTCACTATCCGGCGAAGTGCAAGCCAACTGAAAATCCGTGGCATTGGCAGCATTGATCAGCAGATTAAAGGGTGCGCTGACCGTTCCAGAAAGTTCAGTATTCGGATTGCAGAGATATTCCAGGGAAATATCGGGTGCATGCAAAAGACCCTTTCCGTTGTCGATTCCGATTGTCAAAAGGGAGAGTAAGCTTTGCGCCATGATGGTCCCGCTGTTCTCGATGATGCTGTTGCAAACAATCCGTAGTTCGCTCGCTGCCAATATTCCCCGAACGATAAATCCCGGATATGGGTTAAAATTGTCAAGTGTCGGTTGTTTTTCCTTCTGGACGATGAGCATTAATGGTCCGCTGTCCACAGACATTTCGCCGCTTAGGACAAAATGAGACTCAGTTTCAGAAAATAAATGCACGGTGGCAAGTTTGGTTTTGATCAGTCCATGGCTGTTGAGCCGATGAGTCATTTTAACGAGTAACGAGCCAGTAACAGTCAAACCATCCCAGTTCTCATCCGAATCAGCAAGAACTGTAGCCGTGAACTGATTGGCAACTAGCGTAACACCGATCTTGGCTTGCTCTAACTTTTCCGTTACGATCTGCATATCCTTCCCAATAGCCAAATGGCTCTCGTTTCGGTAATGCTTACAAACAACTGATCCGTTCTCTTTAATTTTTACAGTGGCCTGCGGTCCGATCAAAAACGAGTTGCCGATGTAAATATCCATTTCATTCACCATCCACTGGCTGAAGATTTCACATTGATGTTTTGCTTCCATACGTAGCATGCCGGCAAACAGAAAGGACTCGGGGTGAAAAATTGCAGAGTCCTTCAGTTGTAATTGCAGCGCTTCGTCCGTAAACCACTGTCCTGAACACCAAAAATTATTACCGCAGACTTTGGCGTGGTCGGTAACGGCCACTACTGCGGTCGATTTGCACAGGACATCCTCGTTGACCTTCATGATCGCTTTATTAAATTTCACTTGTCCGTGTAGAACCAAATTTTTTCCTATAGACATATCCGTAACACCACCAGTCGACCAGATTGAATCGCGCTCGCACACGGCAGTTCCAGTAACTGTCACCTTTAAGCTCGTTGTTGCTTTCAACTGCGCACAGTCAAACAGGTCTCCGTCAATCGCCAGATCAAGATTCTGTGATTTAAAATTTCCGCGTCTCCAGTCCATAGTTTCGAAAAGCGCTTTAATGGTCGTGATCTTTTCCGGTCGGTCCGGTCTTTGTGCCTCGCCTCGCAACTGTCTGAACCATTTCCGTATGGCTAGCGCCGGTGTTACCAAGTTATGTGTCCGCTGATCGATCATGGCCTCATTAGGATCGACGAACTTCTCCAACAGGTTGGCGACCTTTTCCGGGCTTTCCTCGGTGATAGCTCCCAGCAATGCGCTGCTGGTAAGCTGCATTGATGAGTCCGCAGGTGCTCCCACCCGTTTCAGATTCTTAATTGCTTGGTAGCCTCGGTGCGCTGAATCATCAATGTTATTTACCAATGACAAGATGCTCCCGATTATTTTGAGTTGAATTTCTTCGCGGGCCACAACGGTGCCGAAGTTACTGATGTGTCCCCGAATTGTCCCTCTTATAGTGTTAACCAGGACATCTTTTCTTTTTTTCTGGTTCAACGCATTGTCCTTTTTGGAGCCGATTGCGCCGTCCACGCCGATGTGACACTGGTCGACTGTGACATCGAGCTCAATGTGCTTGGTTTTCGAGAACAGTCTGCCATCGATCACTAATTTCTTGCCGGAAACCGTGAAATGTTCACAGTCGACGATGCTTTCGGTTGTCAGTCGTACATTATGGTCTCCCCCATGCACGGCCAGGCTGCTGCAGTGGACCGCTTTCTCGATCCGTACGGAGCCGTCCGTAGAACGAAAAGCCAGATAATTCCCTCGCACGATTCCTCTCGTAGTGATCGACAGTGCGGTTAAGAAAAACTTTTCAATGGCAACATCAATAGTCGAAACAGTCACTTTTGAGTCATCAACGTGAAGAACGAATTGACAACTTTCCTTTGCCGAGTTCTACGATTAGCAAAAATTTGAACGAATGCAAACGGTTATCACGAACTCGTAAATATCAGCAACTGTTATAAGGTTAAAACACAGGCAGCTATCAAAGTTATCCGTAATAATTATCAGCTTTTACATTACAGAATGTACGTAATAATAATCGACTGGAGAGAAGCCAAGGTCTCGTACTTCAAGACCAATGTATTAGTTGATTTCTGTCCAATACGGAAGTGCGCTACGGAAGAAACGATATTGCGCCTTTGCTAACAACAGCTGTAGTGACTGCCATAATATGTTCACGTGACATATTGACTCTATATACAGTAAAAGGCTACTGCATCTGTTGATTGTTATCCTTTATTGAAGGTGAAGGTCGCGCACGTGTGAATCTACGTACGTTGGGTTCACGTGCATACTTCTATTCATAATACTACTACTGTAAATAGTAAATACTAGGTACTTTCAGTTCTGACTGCCTTATGACAATGCAGCCCAACGGACTGTGCGTCATGCTCCTATGACATTGTGTCATTCAGAGATAACGCAAGCGTTGTGCAATGGTTTGTTGCAACAGTCAACACCTGCCCACTTTAAGGCAACATTGCCCAACGGTAAATCTGGTCTCGACTAGATTTTCCGTTGGGCATCGTTGACTTATCCATGCATTGCGCGTGTTACACGCTGTAGACGGTGAGTGCTATGGACTGCTCTGCCCCGTTAATACCGTGCTATAGACGCTATGTACTAACAAATTTAGATCTAGCATAATTACGAACGCAGAGTAACATTAATAATTTAATGACTTAGAGACGGCATTAATTACTAATTAGGCAGTAATTTCCCGCAGTAATTAATAATTAGGCAATACTTAAGCTAATTAGATAGTCATTCAAGACGGCAGTGGTCAGCTTTACTGATGTATTAAAGGTAATTAAGCTACTCAGGCAGTAATTTCACGCTCTCATTAACAACGTCGAGCTTATTATAAGTCTAACTTATCATAAGCTGGGGCACTCATATATCGCAGCCGTTACCGTTGCTGTGTTATCGCATTATTGGATAGGTTTTCTATGAGTCAAATGTGATTACTCATGGTTTTGACTTATCGTAAGTTAAACTTACGATAAGTCAGAGTGTACTGAAATTCCTTAATGTACTTTAGTACTATTATGACATTGTTATCACCTATTCCTGCGCTTATGATGCACACCGGAGCGCACTTTGTAACTGCCTAGAATTTTTCTCTGCCGTAATCTTGATAAAAAGCAGTGCTCTGCCTTTAGCGGTCGATACTGTCGCATTGAAAAGGTCACTCGAAATACTGCCATATTAAATTGCGTTAATTAGCGCTTCATTCACTAATTCCCATGCTCAGCATGTGAGTGCACGCTTTCACAAGAAAACAGCGCACCAGTCGACTCAGAGATCCCATCACCCCAATATTAGTGTAATTTTGCCGTGTCTCTTTTATGGAAAGATATAGTCCCGGCAAAACAAAATATGTTTTCCCTCTCCTCTTTCCTTCTGAAATATTTTGTTTTATATTGGCTTAGCGAGGCACATACCGGTAACGTGCTTGATGACGGGTCGTGTTTATCTGCGCACATAAAGCATGAAACCACTTGGTTTGTTAAGCAGGAAGCAAACATAAAATTATAAAAAAACTTTAGTGCATACCAAGAAAAGCACCGCCTCAGAATATTGGTTTAGGCAGCATTAAATGCAGCATAAACCAATATTCTGAGGCGGAAGACATAGATCAATGAAATTTCTATGTAAATGCACTGCATTATTTACATAGAAATTTCACTGATCTATGTCTGTTAATAAGAAAAACTGGCCTGAAAATAACCAAATCAAGAAGTTTTCTGACTTCGCTCCGGTCTGCCAATGCACGCCAACGTGCACTTTTCTACAGTATAGTTTAAATTTTTTTTATATCTCGATGTTATCTCAGTGTCCGGTCTTGGACCATTGCCACCTTCATTACACCGGCTGGTGGTGTTTGTTCTGTGCCTGATATGCGTATTTTCAGTTTATTTATAAAAGATTTTTGAATTTCTACCTGACCTTCGACCTTCGTGGGAGGTGGGGTTGAATGGATGAGGGTTAAAATGTTTATTTTAATAATAGTAATTATCACACTTTAATAACACCGGTTGTTTCAAATACTTGTTTGCGGTGTATTCAGAAATCAAAACCTGGTTATCACCACTCTAAAAACTGTCGAAATTACAGTACAAAGTGATCAACCGCAAAACCGGTCAGTAATAGTTGAAACCTGGCGCTTTTGGTACTATTGTATCTTTAGATATTACGCAATGATTGTGTAAACACGCAGTCCAAAAGATTTATTTTTCCTATTTGCCGCCGTCCATAACTTTGGGTACCTACTCTAGTTGTTATAAGCGAAAGCGAAGCAAGATTTACTAATAAGTACCTGGATCTGGCGCGACAGTGCGTTGACCCAGACGGTTGACTCGGACGAACCGAGCTGACCGGAACCCAACCTGAGTGAACGGTTTGAGCCGACTAAACTGGAACCGAGCCGACCGGATTTGAGCCGACCAAACTGGAACCGAGCCGACCGGATTAACCACCCGAACCGGACCGAACTGACCCGGAACCTGAGCCGAACCGGTGGGGTGCGGATCCTCCGAATTCTGGGAGATTTCGCTCCGAGGACGTAGCGATGCCTGCAAAAGGGGTGTAAGGGCGGGACGCCCCGCCCTCCTGAGTAGCTATTCGCTGTTTCTGGGGATTTCCGCCCTGCACATTGCTGCGCTGTTTTGACGGACCTGCAGCACAGTTGCACTGGCTGCAGGATCCTTCCTCATTAGTCTGGTGTCAAAGTCAAAGTTGCAATGAAAAAGATAGTAAATCTGCGCTGATTACTTAATAGTTCGCTCGAGTTAATTACGGCCTCAAATCGATGGGTGGGCACTATTATGGAATACCTTGAGTCGACCATCGATTTTCCAGATGTCCTGCACTGACTTCAGTGTGATCTGGAGGTCACCAACAGTTACCGCAGGCGGATCAGGCCACGATTTTGAAGTGCCCGGCGGAATGTGCACCTCCACTGTCTCATTGTCCGCGTGAAGTTTGGGCCGATCGGCATATTTTACAATCAGGTTCAGTCCATTAGGATTTAATTTTTGGTCCTGTAAGACGCATACCACATTGGCAAAAAAAGGTAAACAGTTCGATGTTGCCGTAAGGTTCACTAATAGTTTGACAGGCTGATATTACTTTACATTCAAGCAGTCAGTAGTGTTGCAGTTGAAGTAAAGGAATATAGGTATAAGACTATAAGCTCTTTCGACTACGTTACCTAGTACTTTTATCGATACATCAGCAACTTAATTCTTTTTCTTGTTGTACTCATGAAACAGATTAATAACAAAGCCATAGAGATACATTCATATTAAGATATTAAAATTATTCATAATTACAAACCACCATCAATGAATGCAACTAACAGAATTAATTATAATTAACAAGAGTTCACAATATTCACAGATCCATCATAGTGATCAAACACCTTACACGACGGATTAGTTTAAATATTATGAGCGGAAAAACAGCAGCTGTTTGGGGAAAGACAACAATTTTAGACACTTTGCCAAAAGAGAATAAACGTGATAGTGAGAAACATTTGCTTGTTTTTCGAAATATTGATAATACTCGCAGGGTAAGCAGGCCTTATTAATCGTTATTAACATATAACATATCGTGAACGCATATATGTATATACATTGTATTACAATTTACAACGTCTGCCTCCACCAAGAGACGTACTGTACATGAACGAGAGTATAATTATTAAGTTAAACGCCGATTTAAAGGTTTAACTGCACGTTTACTGCAGTTTGTTCATGCTCCTACGATCTTAATATCCTACGATCCTAATATATTAATATTCGTTCCCAGCAAAAACTAAAACCACAAGCTGGGTGACAGCGGCAGTACAAGGAAACAGTGCAAGTAATTTCGCTTTTCCTTTTGTACGTAATATGCACGAGTATATGTACGAGTTATGGAGTATTAGAAATTCGTACTTACCTCATGAGGATCTTTAAGAGTTTTGGCGGATTTCATGTCACGCATCGCTGGAAGATACTCGGGATTGGGAGCTCGGGAAGATGCTCTGGAAGGTACCGGAGACCTCAAACCTACGGACGCACCGATTACCTAATTGCCGCACTTCATTTGCAATAGGCGCGATGATAAACAAGATTCTATTTATTTACATACATCAGCACATCCAGAGTGTACTGAGAGTAGTGTCAAAGCGATTTACCATTGAGTAGGTTTAGAAAGTTTGCAAATGCTTGGCATTCTGCTTGGAATGTAAACTACATGAGCACAACAAGATAATATAGATATTAAACAAGCTGGCAGCATGATTCGATGTTCTTTACCACTTGCACGTTTTGGAGCTTTGATGGAAGCCGGAAATGGAAACATTTTGTTGATGGTTGAGGATAAGAGACGAAGACTGTACTGACAGATTGCATTGTTTATGGGCCATGAGCAATCATTCTTGACACAAAACTGACTCATGTAACATTCCGGCTTATATATTACCGTATTATATATTGCCTTGAATTTGGGGTCCCGGTAGTCGTATGATAATAATTATACAGTATAGGTTTAAGTAAAATTGACCGGTAGTGGTCCGGTACATCACTGAGCGCATCAAAACTGTTTTATGTTCTTCAGCCCATGCTCATCACTGTGCAAAGTACAACATTCACACATTCCCGGACAATAAACTATGGCAGTAGTACAAAGTGGTAAGTAGTACAAAGTGGTACAGTACTTGCTACTGTACAATATGATATAAACGCAAGCTCAACGTCAGTGGATAGCAGAGAAAAAACAGCCGTATCCGAAAGCATTTTGCTGTGGGAGCGTAATGCGGAACATCAATACGATTACGATTACTATGCCATCTGCTTATGATAGGTCATCGCAGTTCAAGCACGATAAACTACTGGTTTTGCAAATCGGAATTATATCACACATAATAATTATAATGTTATCAGATTCATATGCACTGTTTTACCTGATATTACAGCTGATCAGTAAAAGAAACATACAAACTTTTCTCAGCATTATGTAGTATAATTACGTATTTTTAAGTCGTGAACTCATATGCGATTTTATTATTATCAGCAGTCTGCAGATAATGCACATTACCACGAGAAGTTAACGTAAAATCGTAAAAACTGTAAGTCACCTTCTTCGCACAACGTAATTGGTCAATACTGAACAGTTCGGGAAAGTCAAAATGCAAGCGATCCTGGATCAACTTGCAGAAAAGGTCATACTTAAGTTAAAATTAAAAATTAAGAATAGTTTAAACACAATGTTGTAATGGTTGGTACTAAAAAAGACAAATCTGTAACCTTGAAGTACATACACTACTAATGTACTATCGTAGCATGCACAAAAAATAATGCTACCTATCCAATGAAAATTACATTTTCTATACATATTCATGTATACTACAGGTACGCTGCAGATATAGAGATTATACAACTTTTTTGTGTATTATTTAAATACATATGTACGCATGTGCAGTATGTGTTGCGCACATTCTAGTCTTCACGGGATTCTGGTCAGGTGTTGGTTGGCCGGTAAATAGTCAGTCTGGCTGATCGTCAGAAAGGTTACCCGACAGGAAGTCTGAGGAGGGGCAAACCATTCCGCCCCTCAGTATCTACATACGTACCGGCGGCACATTTTATGTATGAAATCAACCAGACTTTCTGCAGCCAGACGGGTGACAGCAGCCATTGATTTAAGTTACTTTATATTCATGTACCAATGTTTAAGTCAGCAGTCTAAGTTATGTTATTTGCTTAAAAGTGACTTCCGGCCAAACGTGTGTCATTTTTACACATGTGTTTGTTTAGCACTCGCACAATTTCACGTTCAATTTACGTCGGCTCTTCCTGTGCGCCGGCCAGGCAGCGCCAATCACGATCGTGCAACACGCCATTTCCGGCTGTGTTAGCATTCCAATTTCAAAATCGAAATTCAGTGTGATTGACCTTTGATTTTTTTATCATTCTCATAATTCATTTACTTCTCTGCTTCACAGAGTGCAGAGTTAGTTCCGATATTTAGAAAATGTGCGTCGACCCATTTTAGTTCTTATCATGGATACTACGGAGCATTGACTGGCAGATCAAGATTGGGACGCTCAGTTAATAAACTTAATATCAACTGTGCCTGCGCAAAATTATATTTTTTGAATAATAACTCGCTTCTTCAAAGTCTGTGATATCTACCGTAGCTCATATGCACAGCTAGCAGCGCACATCCGCAGAATCTGTGAGGAAAGATGATCGATATTATGTTTACTTTTCCAAAATGGAGTCGACTCCTGGGAGTTTAGCAGTGTTGATTTGACCCGTCAAATCGCCTTCTACAGCTCTTTAAAAAAATCTCTTCGCCAGTGGTCCCCATGTAGCCGTAGTTTTGAATGCTACTCTAGTGGTTAAACTATGTAGCGATTTGCCAGCCCGCTGTATTCTCCTAACAGCCGGTTTCAAGTAAGTAGGTAGTAAGTCAGTAAATGTTATCGTTTTACATAATCTAACTGATACACAAGCTCTTGATTTTTTTCCGTTGAAGATCGTTAAAACTTTTCCAGAACACTCCATCGACCATTTACCAAAACTTTTCCGATGTACATGTCCTGCCCAAAACAAAGACCCGTCGAAATCCCATACGAAAGAGCTGACCCCGGGGCACTGACGGGCAGTAACCGTAGCTGTCAGCGGCTTGCCTCCGCAAACCTCCGTTAGTCTTACAAAGTAATCGAAGAGTCATAAATGAACAACTACCTTACCTAGTTACAACTACCTCTTTGGCCCCGAGACAGCCGGTCAACGCGTAATAGAACAACAAAATGTGCTTTTGCGTAATACTAATCAAAATGATTAAGAAACGTTGTCCACGATGAGCCAGTCCTCAGTCGGTCAATAGTTTTCCAGGCGTAATGCCGTGTCAGCATCGCGCAGTTGAAAGCGCCTTGCTCATTGGTCAGTTTCGGCGGCGCCGACAGGCAGACCGTCCAGGTGTCCGTTATTGTATCGTAGCACTCGATCCATTCTCCCTCTTTTTCAAATCTCCCCACAGCACAGAGTTGTCCCTTCAGCAGCACTAGCCCTATGTCTGCTCGGGGAGTGTGCATGCCCTCTAATCAACCAAAAAACACAGGCTTCATAGTTCATACACAGGAGCATACAACGGACACTAGAAAGCTGCAAGCCCATCCTAGAAACCGGCGAACACTAACAGCGAAATCTGAAAATCCCAGAATCTGAGCCAGTTTCCATTTTACGGCGCGCTGTCCCATTGCGGTGGTCATACAAATTTGTACAACGGACACGAAGGATATTTTAGGCAGTTGTTGGAAGTAAGGTGTGTGAGATATATGAAGTAAGCTGCATTGGTGCGTTTACTATAACACAAATTACACAATGCTCTAGCCAACGTACTACAATCCGCTTCATACGTTTTCACACGCGGCTTTGGTGCTGCTCACTTGTGTTACATAATTATTCGCCGGTTTTAAGAATGGTCTTGTATTTCGTCTGACACTAAATCCACCGATGCGGGGCTTTGTTAGCAGATCTTAACGCGAAGTGGCTAGCGGGCGAAGTGGCTAGCAGCCAGTGGAATCAGAGTTTCTACTCACTTACAGATATAATAGTGCATGTGCGTTGGTTTCGTGTATGTGTACAAATCACGCATACATCTATACAAGTAGCACAGACCAGCCAATGGCAATTGCAAAAGTGCCTTAGTTGTATAGATGTATGCGTGATTTGTACACATACACGAAACCAACGCACATGCACTAATGTGTACAGCAACAATGCGGGCATTGCCAAGGGCTGACTTACTCTTTATTTGCCATTGGTTCGTCTGCACGTTATACACTGCCACACAGTTGAGAGGATGTCCATCTTCGTTGCAGCCTGCGTATCCTCCTACCACGAATCACGTACAGCAACGGCAATAAATTATCTAAACTTTGTACGTAGCATAATCTACGTCTCAGCACCCGCATGAACTCACCGACAACGTAGATGAGCCCATCTGGTCCAACGCAAGCTCTCGCACAGTTGCGTGCCGTGGGCATGGGCGGCAGCTCTTCCCAGACATCCCGCGCCGGATCGTAGCAGTAGACGATATTGGACCGCGAGACCGTCTCATTGTCGTGCAGAACCCCGCCGAACGTGTACAATCTGCCATGGAGGACCACGGCGGCACTTTCATCCACCCAACGCGGCTTGACAGCCTTGGCAACCCACTGATTCTCAATGGCATCGTAACAGTGCAGCGTTTGTTCGCCCACTGCGTACACCTGATCGTGGATGACAACTATGATCAGTTCGGTGATAGGAAAGTCACCATTGCCCAGTGCTATCCAACGATCCAGCAGTGCATCGTACTTGTGAACGACCGGTGGGTTGCCACTCCATCCGTAGAGTACCGCGAAATAAACGGTGAGCCGGTCATTCTCCAACACGAACGCGGCCGGATGCTTGCAGTACGTCGGTGGGTCGGCGCACGGGAAACTGACGTAGCGGCCCGTGTACGGATCAATGCAGTCCAGCCGGCCCTCGTACTCTTCCGCTTCGCTATCGTGTGACATGGTGAAGACAACTGGCTCTACAAGTTTCAACATAACGCATATGTACGCCAATATGAAATACGCATGGCGGACAAACCACCAGGCTCTCGTTAACACTATTTTTTCATGAAGAAACCGAAGAGGCCGTTAGGCCTAGAATATTGGTGCAGTACTCTGGATAATATTAAATAAGACAGGCCTTCAAAAATTTTACCTGCATGATCCGTGTCATACGTGTTTTACACAATACTTCAAGTGCATATAACTAAAGCACCAACCCCTCCCTAGACAAAACAAACCGCGTATGCAATGAATTCATTGCGTATGTTACGACCGTGGTGTTGACAAGTGGACGGCGGCTTTCGTGGTTTGATTAATTGCCAATGTGCATGATCTGCGTGCTCATTAGTACGAGTATTATTATGACGACATCTGTGTGTGAAGATATTTAAGTCTTTACCGTATTGTTCCTTAACTGTGTAAGATCCCTGACTGCTGGTCCAGTGGGAATAATGAGAAGGCAGGATGAATGTGGTCTGCAGATGTGGTTAATGTAAAATGTAGTGATGGGTTTGGTGCGTGTGTTTTTAGCTTTGTGGCTGTATGCGAATATGTCAGTATGAGCGTGTTATGCGAGTATGCATATTGATGTGAGATATAAGTTGATGCAACTGTGAGGAGACGGCACATTTGTCGGGAGTGCAGGTGTCATGGTGGAAATAAAAAAAAGTTAACCTTTTTCCTTAGTGAACGTTCTGCAGACGTATTGCTAGGGTTTTATCAATTACTCAGTTTGTTTTATTACGGTAATATTATCACGGTCTGCATATTCGAATTAAGCAAACCGCGCATCTTCGCAGCAACCCCCAAAAACAGCGACTGCTTACTTACGGCATGATTTACGCAGTTGCGTTGGGCTGTCGCCTACCCGGCGTAAATCGGCAGCGGAATCGTCGGGAAGCGCTGATAGATATTGTGAAGATAGCAACGAGACCCTTATGCGCTGCAGCAGCTGACGTCGGACCACCTCCGATGCGCGGTCAGGGGAATGGTCCAACCAACGCAGCACCGCGTCGGCCACTTGCTCTTCGTCCTCCACGTTCAGTTCGTCTGCCCCGATCAACTCACTTAGCTGCCGAAAGAATAGTAAATTACTGGCAAAGATACACAGTGTACAAGCAATTTAACAGCAACGAAGCGATACACACTTCCGCTGCATCCATTTCTAAAAATTCCCCGGAGTGGCACACCGTGGTGAAGTACTCTAGTGCGAAGGCTTGACATTGCTGGATCAGATCCGCGCAGTGCAGCAGCTTCGCGCCGCGCTGAATGGTCAGCCAGTTGGTCTTGTCGACACTCTGCCGCAGAAAATCTTTGCATGCCTCCACAATTTGGCTTAACTCCAACATATCCGCCGCCTGCCAGAGAAAGAGTGCGTTGCTGCCGTCTACGGACAGCTCACGAGAATACATGGAGTTGATGAGCCTGCAGATTTGCAAAAGCCAAAAGTCTACGCTGTGTATGCTGAAAGGGATCCGCAGTATTATTAGTAATGAATACGCTCAATCTCTTCGTTCGACGGTCTTCTAAAAACAACAATGGGCATCAAAAACACAGTCAACAGACAGCAGGAGCGGAAAGTCGCGGAAAATCAAGAAAACGGGAAAGTTAACGTAAAAGAAATTAAATAATGGAGGTTTCGAAAAAGCCAAAAGACTACGCTGTGTATGCTCAAAGGCATCCGCAGTACTATTAATAATGAATACGCTTAATCTCTTCGTTCGACCGGCTTTTAAAAACAACAACAGGCAACCCATCAAAAACACAGTCAACAGACAACAGGAACGGAAAGTCGCGGAAAATCAAGAAAACGGGGAAATCAACGTAAAAGAAATTAATAATTCAAGATTACAAAAAAGCTAAAAGACCGACAGCGTTGATCACTGGCCGCAATGCGACACGGATGCATATACAGATAGTAAAGATGTTGCCAACGGCCAATGAGTAGAGTAGCCGCTGGGACACGTTCAGGATATTACAGACAGCCGAGACCCAGGGCGCCAAGATAGAAGAGGAGCATGCAAGAATCATGCAAATTAATTAACTTCACCGAATCAGTCAACTAGTAAATCGTTTAGCCACGCGCACTCACTGCCCCAAGATGTCGTGGGGAATACTTTTTAGCTGGATGTGATTTTGTGTGGACTCCTGCATGGGCGAGCGCAGCATACAGCGGAACCAGCCACTGCAAGCCATCAAAACTATCCGGTGGCAGGCGATCCACTGCACCGGCCGGGACGGATCATCCGCGCCTCGCACCGACACGTCGCAGAAATCGTGGCGGGTGTGCCGCAGCCCTTCAACCAGCTGCGCGTCATCCAGTTCTACCAGTGCTGTCTCCTCTTGACGAAGACGTTTTCGAGGAGCCCCCATCTCTGACATGTCGAGCGCAAACTTACTGATCCCTTATGGCTCTGGCAGCCGGCTGAAGTATAAGTAATAGATTGTTACAGTGAAAGAACACAAAAATTTTCAGGATATCCACAGATCAGGAGTTTTCCAGTATCCGCACTAATAACATTGGTCCTTTTATCAGAACGTATGGAATCTCGCAACTCGCATTCTACTGGTGGGGTGCTTGTCTTCGTTTGATGCAAATGCTTTGTCGTAAATTTACGTGACTGCAGGCATCCATACCGGGCGGTTTGTATGCGACGGGCATATATTGGCGGTGCTTTGTTCCTTGTTGTGACTGCTGCCAAATTACGTGCAAATTTTAACTGTTCAGAAATGTTTAACTTTGTGTATTCTTTAGCGAAAACTGAATCCATACTCGAATCCATCCATAGTCTCTTAAAAATACGTAATGATACATACTTTTTGGCGCATGACATTGTTGCGTGCGAGTTTCCAACGACGTTTTGAGAAGAAGGAAATGAGGCGTTGGTTGCTGAGGCAGTCTTAAGTGCGCCAGAGAAGTTTGGTGAATTGTGGTTTTTTTCACACTAGTCAGTCGGTTGAAACGATGCAGGTAGGGCCGGCTTTACCATAAAACTGTCTGCTGCTCTGCCTTGCTAGTTTTTGTAAACGTGTCTGCCGTGGCACGTGCCTCAAGCGATGCACTGCCACACGTGACCACAAACAGTAGCAACTCATCCAATGCCGGCATAATTAAAAGTGGACCAGTTTTTTTCGCCAGGGATAAATTGGAGGAAAGCGACCTGGGTTGGTGGATGTGGAATTGTTGGAGCCGGAATCGGGTTCGCAGCAGGCGGACCGACCGGCAGGTGCCGCGGTTGGAGCACAACTTGGGATGCAGTTCGCCGATTCGTCTTGGGAAAAGCGCAGAAAACGGGACGTTAACGATACCGACGACACATGCCGAATTTTCGCGACCGTTTTCGCTTATGCCGACGCCAACCAGGACGTTGTCCTGGAAGTGAACGAGCTCGCAAAATCGGCCCAGTTCTAAACCAGACAGTAATTGAGCGACTCTTCTACAATATCGACGTCAACGAGGATGGCAAGTGGCAACCTGGTGAGGCTCATCCATGTTGGGAAAATGCAAGTATACCTTCAGTTCAGTCGCGCAGGAAACGTTGTAATGATGATGACGGGGACGACCAGGTAGCTGTCGCGCAGCCATCTTACGAAACGACAACGACATGGTGCAGTAGCGATGGAGGATCATCTTACTACCAGTGCTAAAGAGCGAATATGATTATGAATTTATGATTTTGTTATACTGCTCTCTTGTATTTAGTTTTGCAACTTAATTATTCGATTAAAGTTGGAGCAAGAGCACCTTGGTTCTTTCCATTTTTTCAATTGGACAATATACAAATGTCGTGATGCTGTACTTCACATACTCGAAATTGTTAGCATGTTCCAGCCATTTCTCTTCTTCAACTAAAAAGAATAGCAAGAATACATAGTTTATCTTCCAGAGTGGACCAGCATATCACATATGTATAGTGTGGCTTTTGAGAACAAACGCATGTGTAAGTGTGCAATGTGCATACTATAATTATTATGTGTTAAACTCCCGGCGGGCTTAGATTATACTTTACATGTAAAGTCTTGAAGAACTCTGCGTACAGATAGGTAGCATTAAGGGCCATTGTAACTGGTGCTTTGTAATGTAGATCTGCAACCGGTTGCATTATTACCGCAGGTTATTGCCCGTACGCATCACAAACATCAAGAATGACAACGCCCTTTTTGACCGGCGTTGTAGAAATACTGAAAAAGTCTGCTTTTCGATTACACAAAGCCGCTTGCAGTTATTAGCACATGCGCAGCTATAATCGAGGAATCAGGCACTGATGATTACCATGGCCGTAGCTATCTGTAGGTTTGAGGGATGAAAAATGCGCAAAAGGCGCAGGTGAGATTTGTTGAGCGCAGTGGATGCAGACCGAACTTATAAAAGCGCAAAAGACGTAGCCATATTGTCAAGCTAATGAACGCACACGTCGCACAGGTTTGCTTGTGATCTAGTATCCAGTTATGTGTGGGAATTGTATTCAGCAATCATATACCGATCGTAGGTACATAATTAAGCTAGCAGAATTAGAAAAAAATATTTACAGGGATTGCCACGTAATAACTTTAGAAACGCTCTAGATTAAATCAAGAACTCAAGGCACAAACATTAAATTTGTGGTCATTCTGTGCTGTTTCGTGTAAAACCTTTTATCAATGTATGTAAATTAAGCAGCTGGGAACCTCCGTGTCATTTCCGCCCTCGAGTTTCGGCTAGTGCTTCGATGCGGTCAAGAAGTTGCTCTTTGTCAAGTTCCGGATATAGCTCGGGATCGTATTGCTCGTAAAAGGCAAAGGCAGTTACGATGAAAAGTAAAACGTTTGCCATTCCGATGTTGTTCAGTTCCTTTACTATGGCCTTATACAAATCCTTTCGAACTTCTTTTGCAATGGTTCGTCTGTTAGCTGCGTTCTCAACCGCTGCCGATCTCACCGCACGTTCGTAGGCATTATGAATGGTGGCATCAGCTTGGGTCCGAATAAAAATAACAGGAACGCCCTCTCGTTGTGCGCGAAGAGCTAGCTTTGCATCGACTTCAGTGAAGCGCACTGTGCTGCTGACGATAAACAACAAATCAAAGGCGCACAGTTTTTGATCAGAAAAATACGTATTCATGGGATTGTCGGGGTGGTTTGTGCCAGGCATGTCCCAAATGGCCACGCGTGGGTATTTAGCTGGTTTATACGCACGCGCATGTCTTGTTCCGCCACCAATATGTCCAACCGCAGCTGCGGATGGGTCACCCTCTTGGTAGCCACAGACGGCATTAACGAGAGTCGACTTCCCGGCTCCCGTTTCTCCGCATACCCCGAAGTTGTAAAACTGCATGCAGTCCATGCCAAGCTTGTCCTGCAACTCCTTACGCTGTGCTGAGGAGAGTCGACGTGGTGCAAAAGCAGGACTGGGAAGGTTGCCCATAGCGGCGGGAATCGAAATACAAAATTTCAATCAGTATTATTAAGTTTTTGTAAATAACCCACTTGTGCTACTACCGCGGTATACAGGTTGTTTAACACAACAGGCACAGTCAACAGTATTTGACAGCTAGAGTATGAGAAAGAAACAAGTAGCGTTGTCGTGCTTTTATTTAGAGTTTAACGAGAATAATACTATCGTGAACTTCGGAAGCCGATAAATGTGGGCTATGCAATTACTTTGATGGGTTAACCGAACAGCTGCTCCCCCAGGAGCTTAACAATAAAGGCAAATAAACTCAGTTCGCTAACCTTCGATAACCGAGAGTCTCGGCTGTATCAAGCCCATCCGGTACAACGAAAACAAACCCATATAAACCAGGCTGCAAATCCAAGTCACTCACCTCAGTGTTCAGTCACCTGTTCAGTTGATTCTCTGTTTGTAAATGCGCAGGGGAACAACATCTTATCTGACACATATGTGAGTTCTAAATATATACATAGATAAAAACAGCACGAGTTCTGGTTGATAACGCCACGAAGTTACTTTCAGTATTTAACAGATTAATGCAGTCACGTTCAGAATGATTTTCTCTAGATGCACTACATGAACTTTCGCTGGGAACTTTGTGACATAGTATTTATTTTTTCATGGAATGGATCCTGCAGTAAGGGTTTCAACAACTAGCGATGGCCAAAAGCCGAATGATCTGGATCTGCGGCTTAAAGAGAATATAACGCGATTGTTCAGTGGCGTTGACGAAAACACCGCACACGTGTTGCATCGTATTTTTGAGAAGTGGGCTACCATTAACGACCAACGCAGCCAGTTGATTAGCATGATGCAACGTGGCAAAGATCAGGAGTTTAAAAGCTGTGCTATTGCGATAGTGTCCGCGGAAATGGTTTCCTTTAGTTTCTCAAGGTATGAAATTTCAGCATCTCCGAAGTAGGTAATCGTGAATAACCTTCTATTAAGCCGTAGTTGGATACACCGCCGCGATTTCTTGAATGCGACAGACGTAGAGGTTCTTACTGACTGCAAGAAGCGTTTCACGTGATCTTAGAGCATTTTGTTTTATTGAGACTACACCATGTATGATTTGGTTCCAGCATAATGCATATCCACAAAGGCGCAGGCAGATCGGTCAAACTCAACAGTGATTAAAGAAAATCATAAAACAGAATTTATTTTGGCGATTGGCGAACTTGAAATTAATGTCATTCTAATGATATTAACTTTGTTTTCAGAGACGTTCTACTCCAAAGTTCACTTAAGCGAAACCACCAGGTAAGCAGTTTAGAATACGTATGCAAATGCAAAAATGCTAACTCACTCCCTCCATGTACAATAAGGAGCGATTTCTGTATTCCCTGTCTGCATTAATCGCTCCATGTCGTTTGTTTTGTTTATTGTAGCAAGAGGCAGATGACCTGAATTAGGATTACTGTCTTACAATATAAAACTTTCAATTCTACTAAACTAAGCAAAAAAATTTAAAACAAACGTGTAGACAGAACCGCTATACGAAGCCGCTGCATTGATGTTAAAAGGATTTTCAAAAGCGGTGCTCGCAAAATTATCTCTACATTTTTCGACGATAAATATAGTACTGTATGTATCGAGATTCGATACACTCTACTATGTAGAGCAAAGCGAATTAGCGAAAGAAGAGCTCTCTGTTAAAATGCGCCACCATTCGAAGAGAATTCAAAGTTCACTTCCAGAACTGTCACTCCCACTTATACGGTGCATGAAGCCACCTCGAGAGAATATGATTCAATGTAGTATCCGAACCGAGATTCGTTTCGAATACGGGACGCGCCCATAAGATTAGCACACGCCACACAAAAGTTATTGTTCTTTGTAGCTCGACTCAATAGTCTCAGTCTGCGCCCTAAGATCACGAATAATGCTGCTAATGATTTTAGATGGTTTTTTTTGCTGTTTAATACTCATTCCTTTTAATTCGCATGAACTGGCGCAGACTTGTTGCTGATATTTTTAAACGTACTGGCTATTCCCGAATCAAAGCAATTGCTACCACGCGTTAACTGATTTAATATTGTTATCATTACTGGAATAGATCTATAGATCTCATGCAGCATACAAGTAGCAAACTCAATTCCCGGTCATTTTAATCATAATGATGTGTAAACAATGCCAATGTTGAGAAAACTACTACCCGTAGTGCTTAACAGTTACTACGACGTATGCTACTCGCCAGAATGACCAGGTGACACCGTATGTCATTCTTAGGATGCGGTAGCCATGGAGACGGATGAGCCTTGTTCAACCGGCCTTACCCTTTCTCCAACACATCGTGCAGCAGTAGATCTGCCGTCCACGATGTTCAAGGGTAAATCAAAGAATGCGTTCACCATTGCAGTCGTTGGAAGAGAAAATGCCGGTCAATCAAGCCTAATTCGAAATCTGCTCTTATGGTACGGTCAAGCCATGTCAGGAACCGTGCAAAAAGTATCTGTCGACGTTGTGCAATATGAACTTACCGAAGATTTGTTTCTGATGGAACTTCCGCCGATTGGACAAGCAGGCTATTCCATCAAGAACTTTTGCGATGCCTATCAGATACGCGGATATGACGTGGTCGTTTTGACTGTCGGCAACCGCTTTCGAGAAAATGATCAAGAGATAATTAAAACGGCTAGCAAGTCCCCACATCCACTGCCACTGATTATCCTTAGCCAAGCTGCGCCTGCAAATAGGTCCATGCAGAACTGGCACGGTTATAAGACAAGCGCCGGGGTGGATGGGGAAATTAACGCTTACTTGAACAGGCACATATACAGCAACGCCAGCGCTTTCGTGCTTACGGTCGGCACTGACTTCTCCAACCGCAATAGTTGGGAAAACGATGAACACATGTTTCTAGACAAAATAGGCATGTGTTATGAGCATTTCCGTAAGGGAAAGACCCAATAAAAAAAATGAACCTGTCAAAACACGAATTTGTTTTCTTAAAAAAAAAACAATTCGGCGATTTGGCAAGTGTTTGTTGAGAGTTCAAAAATCGCACTTGTTTTTGGCGGTGTGAGACGCGGTTTAGTTTGTTTTTTTCGCTCGAATTTCTGAACTGGTCATTCCGTGTCACCATTATTCCAGTTATCTGGGATTTACTCTGCAATCTACAGGCAAAACAATGAGCCATACAATCTAATAAATGTTAGGATCACTGGAAATCTACTTGTTAGTGTAAACAGAGCAAGTTCACCTTTCTAAGCCTACGTTTACTTAGTTTTGCAATATCGGTATAATATCGGCTCTAGCGGGGAAGCGCGACCGTGTGTGTGATAATGTATATCGTTCGAAATGAGTTTCGCTGTTCCTCTAGAAAAACCATCTGGAAAGTGTCGGGTCTCTGACGGCCACCGGAAACGATGCAGGGTTGTTCCCATGGTCGATAAGCATTCCGATAACTCGGTTACTGCAATGCTCGACGGTTGGGGCGCAGCATTTTCCATTACGGCTTACTGATAGCATTCTGCAGTTACCTTTTCGTAATTGTTCAAGAGCTGCCGTTGAAACTATCGGCAAGTTAAAAGATTTACCTCAACTTTACAGAAAGATGTGTTAAGTTTTGCTACTGTACACGGGTCACGGACAGGGAGACACTGTGACTGAGATTTTATCAGTTTTTGACAAAAAACCGCAGTGCCGGTGAAAAGGCAGCCGGGAAATGTAGTCCGGCCAAACTGCGCGAAACTGACTCGATCGGCATTCGCTTGGGAAGTATCGACAAACTGAGGGGTGGCTCATTCGTGGCCCGTGGGCACCATTTTTACACGTTAACAGGCTGCTTTGGGATCTTAAAACAGATGTATGTTAACTAGCTGTTCGCAAATGAATTTATTAGCTTGGCATTAACTGATTAACACCACAACCGCACAACTTTTCGGCAAACATGACACTCGGTTATGTGTATGGAAAGACACAATAAAACAAAGTACACATAGTTACAGACCTTTAATAACTAATACGTGATGACGTCAAACGGTTGGTTACCAGTCCTTCTCACACTATAATAATTACCTGATAATAAATATATGTATATGTATATACATAATAACTACAATAGCATAGAGAAAAAGGTCATAGGATAAATTTATATGTGACGTGCACCAGAGTAATCTGGGATTCTGTGTGGTGCGGCGCGCCCGGGTGTGGTTGCTTTCGTAACTCATCACATCGCTAATCGCTGTATGTTTCATGCTCAGTTTGTGGACAAGTTTGTGCATTCGGTAGGCAGGAATGGGTGTGCAAATTGGAAAATTCTATAGTTTTGGATGTTCTTCGCCTTGTGGGCGCTTGCATGACATAGCGCGAAGAACTCTGCACGAAAAATGCCTTTCTAAAATCGGCTGGGTAATAAGTATTCGCATTAAGCGACCTTACATACATACTCTGTACACGAGAATGACAAAATAGTTATGTAGTACTTTCATGGGGAATAGCCATGAGTAGTTCTTGTCTCTGGTGTCCGGAATTGCGGCAAAAAGCGCAAATGCAATCGCGCCATTCAACACGGTGAACTTCTAGAGTAGACATCAACAGTCTTTTTAAATTTCAGCTAACCGAGGCAATCCATTACAGAGTGGTGTACTGCTGCGAACGAGGTGCACGACTTGTATCAGTTCAAGTCTGCTACAGTCAAACCAGCGCTGCCATTCTCTATGCAGCCTCGTAAATTGTCCGGCTTTCGTGTCGGGGATGTTGTATTGCAAAATAATTGGAGCCAGTATTTGTCTACATCAGCGGCGCCCAGGCCTGATATCCAGCGGAAACCATCGGAGTGGAACAGGCGGAGTTTCTGTACGCGTGGCTTAGTTGCGTGGTATGCGGAGGCAGTGGCACACCAGCCTGCAGCGGGATAATTGCGCGGATGTCTGCTGTTTTACAGCCCGGCCAAGTGTTATCGGCGAAAATCCGCCACTTTCGACCCGCTACGTACTGCAGGGCAGAAGGCGAAAAAATGTTGTAAAACACAAAGGTCAAGAGTATACGGTCGGCTTCGACTGTTTGGTCGTGCAGGACATCCATCTACCACATTTTCTGCGCTTGAACTTCTAAAACTATTACCAAAACTTGCATCAGTTTCCAATTATTTGATGTACTCATAGTTAAAAACGCTCACTAAACAAATAATGTACTGATATCCTTGCGGAGATCATGGTTTGGTGTTATCGGGTGTTTGGTGGGCCTTTATTGAGTTCTTTAATATTACTCCACCGATGCATAGCGAAGGCCCTCGTTGTTCAGCGATTATGGAATATGTGGTGTCCATCGGTCACCGCCACCAAATGCACATAAGCGCGGTGACGTACCACCATTTATTTTTCTTACGATTTTGTCAGTATTGGGTCTTATGAAATAAGTCAAATAACATCTTGGACAAATGGACAATTAAATGATCTGCCTTCGCAGCTATGTCCAAATCAACGCGCTGCGCTTCGTATACACTGTACTGCTGCATCGTCCTTTCTTCCAAGCGTTTTACCAACCATGTTTGAATGCCTTAGCCGGTGTTATGGTGCTACTCCCGGGTTTCTTTTAAGGAAGATCGTACGCAAATGCCCCCGAGAGTAACAGTTTACGCGAGCAAATGCTTGCCCTCGTGCAAGACCAGATGGCATCGATGTACAGCAGTTTAAGTGCTACTGCACATAATTAAAAACACTTGTTCTTTACTTACACAGCCATCCCCCAATTTTGTTAAACGTTCTACTACTGCTCACGAATACGTAAGCTCGCAAACAAAATGCTACCGTATAAGGCGTATATTAGCAAGTGGTGACCTCTCAGATCGTATAGCCGTCACAGAGCCCGTTGTAGTTCTGTGTCAAGCCGTTATGGTGAACTTAGCGTGATACCTCCCAAATTACAAGCCCGGGGCTAATACCAATGGTTAGAATAAATATTTTTTTGTGGTGAAGCTTTCTAGCTGTTAGTGTAACGGATAGCTGGAACTTTAAAGATCAAACGGTGTAAATGTTTTAAGTAATGAGGTAGGCTTGAAGTATCTGTTAACACGAAACTTACAGCGTCACTTCCGTTTTGCTAAATGAAAGGCAAAGTACCATCTTTCTTTTCTACCATGTCGCTACATGTACCGAGAACAGAAACTGCATTTCCTCGCTGGATCTCGATATCAATTTTTAGGCGTAAAACTCTCTGGAGCGAGGATTGCATGTGATGTAGCAAATCTTTCTCTACAGCTCTTTAAAAAATTTATTCGTCCGCGGTGCCCATGTGGCCGTAGTTTTAAATGCCAGCAGTTGAACTAAGTTCCGGTCTGCCAGCCCGCTACACATTGCTAACATCCGGTTTTAAGTAAGTAGGTAGAAAGTAAATGTTACCATTTTGCATATTCAAACTGATACACAAGCTATTGATTTTTTTCCGTTAAAGGTCTTTAGAACTTTTACAAAACACTCGCCCATTTAGCAAAGCTTTCCCGATATATGCAAGTCCTTCTCAAAACAAAGACCCGTCAAAATCCAATACGAAAACATTGACCCCGGGTCACTGACGGGCAAATTACGGTAACTGTCAGCGGCTTGCCTCCGCAAACCTCCTTTGGTCTTATAAAGTAATCGAAAAGTCAAAAATGGATTTGAGTTATCTACCATCAGTATCCGCAAATAGTTAGCTAATGTCGGGTCTATGGCCCCGAGACAGCCGGTCAACGCGTAACAAAGCAACAAAATGTGCATTCGCGTAATACTAATCAAAATTATTAAGAAACGTTGTCCACGATGAGCCAGTCCTCAGTCGGTCCATAGTTTTCCAGGCGTAATGCCGTGTCAGCACTGCGCAGTTGAAAGCGCCTTGCTCATTGGTCAGTTTCGGCGGCGCCGACCGGCAGACCGTCCAGGTGTCCGTTATTGTATCGTAACACTCGATCCATTCTCCCTCCCCTTCAAATCCCCCCACAGCACACAGTTGTCCTTTCAACAGCACTAGCCCCAGGTCCGCTCGGGGAGTGTGCATGCTTTCTAATCAACAAAAAAACACAGGCAAATTTCAAACACAGAAGCGTATAACGGACCTTAGAAAGCTGCGAGCCCAACCTAGAAACCGGCGAATCCTAACAGCGAAATCTGAAAATCCCAGAATCTGTGCCAAATTTCATATTACGGCGGGCTGTCCCATTGTGGTGGTCACAGAAATTTTAAAAAGGGACACGAAGCATATTCTAGGTAGTTGCAGAAAGTAAGGTGTGTGAGTTGTACGAAGTAAGCTGCATTAGTGCGTTTACGAAAACACAAATTACACAATGCCTAGCCAACGTACTACAATCCGCTTCATACGTTTTCACACGCGGCTTTGGTGCTGCTCACTTGTGTTACATAATTATTCGCCGGTTTTAAGAATGGTCTTGTATTTCGTCTGACACTAAATCCACCGATGAGGGGCTTTGTTAGCAAATCTTAAATCCATCTAGCAAACTGCTGCAGTCAGCCAGTGGAATCAGTGTTTCTACTCACTTATAGATATAATGTGTACAGCAACAATGCGGGCATTGCCAAGGGCTGACTTACTCTTTATTTGCCATTGGTTCGTCTGCACGTTATACACTTCCACACAGTTGACAGGATGTCCATCTTCGTTGCAGCCTGCGTATCCTCCTACACGAATCACGTACAGCAGCGGCAATAAATTATCTAAAACTTCGAATGCACTGCTACGTACAGTCTACGTCTCAGCACCCGCATGAACTCACCGACAACGTAGATGTGCCCATCTGGTCCAATGCAAGCTCTTGCACAGTTGCGTGCCGTGGGCATGGGCGGCAGCTCTTCCCAAACATCCCGCGCCGGATCGTAGCAGCAGACGATATGGGACCGCGAGACCGTCTCATTGTCATGCAGCACCCCGCCGAACGTGTACAATCTGCCATCGAGGACCACGGCGGCACTTTCATTCAGCCACCGCGGCTTGATAGCCCTGGCGACCCAATGATCCTGTATGGCATCGTAACGGTGCAGCGTTTGTTCGCCCACTGCGTACACCTGATCGTGGATGACAACTATGATCAGTTCGGTGATAGGAAAGTCACCATTGCCCAGTGCTATCCAACGATCCAGCAGTGCATCGTACTTGTGAACGACCGGTGGGTTGCCACTCCATCCGTAGAGTACCGCGAAATAAACGGTGAGCCGGTCATTCTCCAACACGAACGCGGCCGGATGTTTGAAGTACGTCGGTGGGTCATCGCACGGGAAACTGGCGCAGCGGCCCGTGTACGGATCAATGCATTCAAGGCGGCCCTCGTACTCTTCCGCTTCGTTATCGTATGACACGGTAAAGATAAGGGGCTCTACAAATTACAACATAACACATATGTATGCCAATGTGAAATACGCATGGCGGACATCACCACCACCAAAGTCTCCCGAATATCACCTTTCACTACCCCCAGCCTCTCGACATCGCTGTTCTTTCATAAAGAAACCGAAGAGGCCTGTTAGGCCTAGAATATGGTGCAGTACTCTGGATAAAATTAAATAAGACAGGCCATCAAATTTAACCTACCTCAACCGTATCATACGTGAATTGTGTACGTAATACACAATACTTCAAGTAGACATAACGAAAGCACACAACGCTATCCCTAGACAAAACAAACCGTGTATTTACGCAGTGAAATGCGTATGCCATGAATTCATTGCGTATGCGGTTTATTTGATTACGCTAACTTTATCACCGGTTGCATAATATTCGAATTAAGCAAACCGCGCATCCTCGAAGCAACCCCCAAAAACAGCGACTGCTTACTTACGGCATGATTTACGCAGTTGCGTTGGGCTGTCGCCTACCCGGCGTAAATCGGCAGCGGAATCGTCGGGAAGCGCTGATAGATATTGTGAAGATAGCAACGAGACCCTTATGCGCTGCAGCAGCTGACGTCGGACCACCTCCGATGCGCGGTCAGGGGAATGGTCCAACCAACGCAGCACCGCGTCGGCCACTTGCTCTTCGTCCTCCACGTTCAGTTCGTCTGCCCCGATCAACTCACTTAGCTGCCGAAGAGTAGTAAAATTACTGGGGAAGAATAGAAGATACTAAGTGTACAAGCAATATCACAGAAGCGAAGCGATACATACTTCCGCTGCATCCATTTCTAAAAATTCCCCGGAGTGGCAAACCGTTGTGAAGTACTCTAGCGCGAAGGCTTGACATTGCTGGATCAGATCCGCGCAGTGCAGCAGCTTCGCGCCGCGCTGAATGGTCAGCCAGTTGGTCTTGTCGACACTCTGCCGCAGAAAATCTTTGCATGCCTCCACAATTTGGCCTAACTCCAACATATCCGCCGCCTGCCAGAGAAAGAGTGCGTTGCTGCCGTCTACGGACAGCTCACGAGAATACATGGAGTTGATGAGCCTGCAGATTTGCAAAAGCCAAAAGTCTACGCTGTGTATGCTGAAAGGGATCCGCAGTATTATTAGTAATGAATACGCTCAATCTCTTCGTTCGACGGTCTTCTAAAAACAACAATGGGCATCAAAAACACAGTCAACAGACAGCAGGAGCGGAAAGTCGCGGAAAATCAAGAAAACGGGAAAGTTAACGTAAAAGAAATTAAATAATGGAGGTTTCGAAAAAGCCAAAAGACCGACAACGTTGATCACTAGCCCGAACGCGACACGGATGCATATACAGATAGTGAAGATGGTGCCAACTGCCTGTGAGGCGATGGCTCCCTTGCGTCCACCTTAGTGACGCTACTGGAGTTGGGGGAGTGCTTCGTTGCACTGCGCACTGGGGATTTCCCCGTGGAATTACCGTCTGTGGCGTGTCTCTTTTCTGATTGGCTGACGGCTGCTGTTCACTGTGTTCACTATGCGCCGTGCAGTTTGTATGTGAGATATTGGGTAGACGTTAGCTGACTGAGTAGTCTGAACGTCAGTGTGTTTTGGTTCTCGATCGGAGATATTATTAAATTGTATAACGTAGTCTGGATATCGTGCGTTGCGCACTTCATCCCTTGTACGACACGCTCTACATTCCACGGAGTCCTGTCAGTCTGGGCTTCCGTCCTGGACTCTTTCACAGTCCACGGTTATATGGTAGCAGAGCCGTGAACAGACGGTTTCTGAGTTGTCATCTGTTTGGCGAACGGCCACGATCATCTGTTTGGCGAACGGCCACATCGATCTGGATCATATCGATCTTATTACACCAGTAAGGCACTGGTTTTCCTCATCTGAAGCAAGGCGCGCTCACCTATCGGATTGCCAACATCGACTGCACTGACTAGAGAGTCTCCTGTAGGAGAACTCGTCGTGCATATCCAATCAGACGGCAGAAGGCTGCGGTGCAAGAGCTCTCCTGTCGGAGAACTTGTGCTGTTTCCTCTGCTAGGCAGCGGGCACCTCTTGTTGGGGTCAAGGCTGTCGGGCACAAGAGCCGAGAAGCCACGAGTTGGCAGCACCGAATGAGGTGCCAAGAGATCAGTTAACGCGCTCCATCAAATTGGTTGTAGAGCGACCTGCTGGCAGGCTTGACAAGCCCAGCAGAAGGCTGATTAGGTCGGATAGGAAGGCGCCACAACCGTGCGGAATACGGCTGCGCGGGATCGGAGTTGGAGAAGATCATCTGGATCATCTCCACCATCTGGATCATCTTTTTGTGGGATCGGAACGGTGACAGGTAAAAAGAAACGGTTATTAATTATTGGATTGGTTGAGGCGTAAAATACGCAATTTTTATTGGTCGGTACTGAGCTGAGCTAGACGTAGGCGTAGTTTTTGCACACGGCACGCAAGTCTGGCCGTCGATCTGTGACGTCAGGCCGGTCAGAAAATTTTAACGGGTACACGTGATTGGTCAGTTAAACGAATTCTGATTGGTCGAAAATTTTAACGGAAAAAACGATCTAAAACGATCTTATAACGATCTCCCAACAGTGAAAACGATCTTTCTTCATCGGAAACAATTTATATTTAACTAAAGGAAGTTGATTTTAATTGAATTGAAGTGACCAAAAAGTGACCATCTTGGAGATCGATCATCTCGAGATCGTCAGTGATCTTGACATCAGATCAGATCGATCTAAGACGATCTCGCAACGATCTTTCATCAGTTAAAACGATCTTTCTTCATCGTAAACGATCTAAAATCAGTTAAAGGAAGCTGTTTTTAATCGAATTGAGTTGACCGAAAAGTGACCATCTCGAGATCGATCAGATCGAGATCATCAGTGACCTTTTGAGATCAGATCAGATCAGAGAGTGACCTTTACAGATGAGCTGAGATCATCTATTTCAACTGAATACGAACTCTAAACGATCTTTCCAGCAGTTTTATTGATATTAGCAGTGAACGAGATCAATTTTGAGGCAAACCCCTCGATCTTTTTATCGAAAAAGTGACCTTTAAAATCGAACTTGACCGAATCAGATCAGCTAAAAAGCGATCTCAGGGACTTAACGATCTCATTATAACGTGTGTGTGAGCAAAATCAGCAGGTGCGTCACAGTTATCCGATCACCATGGATAAAGAGATCATCGAACCGACATCTAACAGCAGTCAGGGGAGCCGTAGCTCTCACGGGTCACAGCAAGGCGCACATAACCCGTACAAAAAAGACTTGTACCCGTACTCGCGTCCAGTTGGACATGATCGAAACACTCGAGCACCGAAAGTCCCCGTGAAGAAAGATTCACGTGGGTCAAAAGCGACATATCAGAAGGCACTCGAAGCAGTGTCAGCTCAGGAGAGCTCCAGTGATGATCTGAAACGATCTCCCGCGCCTGCGGCGGGAAACAGTGAGGTGAACCAGGAGGTCACCAAAGAAGGAACGAACCCAGAAGAAGCCGCGGAGATGGATCTGACATCGCAAAAGGATACGTCAGACCAGGATAAGAAGGATAACCTGGCCAAAACCGAACTCACCGAACAGCCAAAGATCACAACAGATGATCTCAACGAACTCAGACTAGATGATCTCACACTCGGAGATGAAACAACAACCGAAGACATCTTCGAGAGTCCGATGGCATCTGATGAGATGATGTCCAATCGCGGGAACGAAGAATCGTACTTCACAGAAGACGAGATGACATTGAATATGTCATTTCAAACCGCAATGAAGGAAGCGGATCGAGCTCAAGGATTGACATCCTTCGAGGACATCCCCGAAAGTCTGATTGAAAGGAATCAGACGGGGAAGATCGTCAACGTACGATCTCCATCTCCCAACAGCCCCACTTCAAGCCTGAAACGTCGAGTCAAAGAACTCGAGATTTCGTTGGAAGAAAAAGAAGCTCAGACTATCAAGAAGAAACAGGAATATCAAAATCGGTTGGGATCTCTTGAAGCTCGTATCTATGAGTTGGAGCAACACCAGGGCGTATTAAAAAACACGGCAACGGAATGGAAAGTAAGATACGAACGCCAGAAGGAGATCGCGGAAGACAACTTGAAAATTGCGGATGATAGGGAGATGGAAGGCTACATGGCCGTAAGCGATCTCAACGAGAGTCTATCGGAGGAATCCGCCGAGCGATCTCGCCACATAGCGGAATTGAAAGATCAATGTGATGAACTGCGTAAAAAAGCAGATGAGGCTAAGGCGAAGCGAGACGAATACGCAACCAAATTAGCGGAAGCAACCAAACGATTAACAGCGGTGAACAAGGATATATTCAAGCTCAGAGAGGACCTGAAGCTGAAAGATGGGGATATTCAAACTCTCCAAAGGGAATCGGAAGATCACCAGAAACGAGCCGATGATGCTCTCAAAGTGGCACAAGACCTGAGAGAGCTCCTAGCTACTGAAGGGGGACGACTTAAAGATGAAATCAGGCAGGTCACTGAGGAGAACGCACAGCTCAAAGAAGCTGGCGAGAAGGCGGCCGAATGGGGCCAAAGATGGGAAGATGAAGCACGACGACTAGATACGAAGGTGACAAAAGTCGAAGTGGAAAGCAAAGAACATCAGGAAAAGATCCGTGAGCTGACAGATGAGAATATAAAGCTCAATACGGAAATAGTCGATATGACACAAACAGTGATGACTCACCAAGACGAAGTCACCCAATCGAGAACTCGACTGAAATCGGCAGCTGATGCGTATGCTCAACTGGAACAGCAAATGAATCAGCTAATTGACCAGATTAAAGCGAGAGAGATGGACGAAAAGGAGTTAAACGCGGAGACGATTCAGCGGCAGAATTTCGCCCATATGCTCAAGCAGGAGCGAGATCAGCTGCAAACGGAAAACGAGCAGCTTAACATCAGAATTAAACGTCTCGAAGATGAGAACAAGGGCCTAAAAGTGACAAATAAACACAGGGAAGAGCTAATTCTGCAAGCAGGAAGTGCAAAGAGAGATGCTGCCGACACGCCCCCGCCTAGCTACAGTAAGGCACAAGAAGCGGGCGGGAGCTTCCACTTCGAGATGCCGCTACGAACGGGTGGCGGCACAGTCGGTTTCAAAGCGGAAAAAGATGGGGAAACTTCGGATAAAAGAAACCCGTCGGGCAGTCACCAACACCACTCAAGCTTCGACGACCCCTCACAGTTTCAACAGCCCATTGAAACGACAGTAAAAGATGGAGCTAACCAAGACGCACGATCACCCCGACACGAACATGACGGCAGATACTTTGGGGATTATCGAAATGATCGAAACGACAGAAATGAACGATATCAACGAAACGATCGAAATGAAGATCGAGGGCAACGGGAATTTGATAGATCCATCAAGAACATGGGCCGCAAAACCGATCTTGCGACCTTTGACGGTAACCGCGATGCGGTAAGCGGTTGGATCCGGTTGGTGAGAGAAACACAACGAACATATGACATGACTGATGATCAGGTGTTGATTGATATCGCCAGCGCCGTCAGAGGACCAGCAAAGATCTGGTTCGACGGTGAAAGAGACATCGAAGAGGCCGAAGAGGAAGTTTACACAGTCACGGAATGGTTAAACAAATTTAGAGATGAATTTGGAGATCGAAACGAAGAAGTCCTTGGCTTACGTGAAGCCATGAACAGGAAATTCAGACCCGGAAAAGAGACACTTGAGCAGTTCTACCAGGCGATCATGAAATTTAAGGCTAAGAAAGCCATTACCGAATTACAAGCAGTTGCATTCCTTATCGATGGATGCAGAGTCGATAACGATCTCTATAAGGCGCTGAAAACGAAGGGGTTCAGAACGCCAACAGAGATCAAGGACTTCTTCCGATCGTGGGCAGCTGGCGAAGACAAATATAAGGTTGTCGAAGGTCAACGCAATCAACCGGATTATGTGACCATCCGCTCGGGCCAAATTGAGATGGCACAGCGACAATATGCACCCACACCGTCTCCAGCGGAATACCAGACGAGATCGCCAACTCCAACTCACAAGGAGATGACATTCATTGAT